GTGCAGTGGCATGGTCATGGCTTATTGTGGCCTTGACCTCCTGGGCTCAGGAAACAAAGTTTTGGGTTTTTTTTGTTAGAGTCTCACTCTGTCACCGAGGCTGGAGTGCAGTGGCACACTCACAGCCACCGCAGCCTCGACCTGCTGGGCTCCGGTGATCTTTCCGCCTCAGCCTTCCCAGCAGCCAGAACTACAGGCGTGTACTACCACGCCCGGGTAATTTTTGATTTTTTTTATTGTAGAGATGAGGTCTTGCCAGTTGCCTGGGTGGGTCTTGAACCCCACGATCTCAGGCAATCCACTCACCTCAGCCTCCCAAAGTGCTAGATTACAGGCTGAGCCACTGAGCCCAGCCTGAAAACAAAGTTTTAAAAATAAGAAGCCTCCTTGGCTCAGACAGTCCTAATGCCTGTCTCCTGAGTAGGACATTAGGTGTACACCACCACTCCCAGTTAATCTTTCAAATTTATTTTGTAGCGTCACGCTCTCATCATGTTGCCTAGGCTGGTCTTGAACTCCTAGGCTCAATCAGTCCTCTTGCCTTGCCTCCCAAAGTGCTGAGATTACAGGCATGAGCCACCGCACCCAGCCCAGAAATGCTGTATAAACATGCAGTTGACATTGTCATTTCCCATCCCTCTCCTGTACTTTTTTTCAACTTGGCCTTTTTCTTTTTTGGATACAGGGTCTTGCTCTATCGCCCAGGCTGGAGTGCAGTAGTGCAATCATAGCTCACTCCAGCCTCCACAGCCTCAAACTCCTGGGTTCAAGGGATTCTCCCATTTTAGCTTTCTGAGTACTAGGACTACAGGTGCACACCACAATGCCCAGCTAATTTTTTTTTTTCACTTTTTTGTAGAAATGGGATTTCACTATAATGCCTGCACTGATCTCGAACTCCTAGCCTCAAGCAATCCTCCTACCTTGGTTTACCAAAGCGTTAGGATTATAGGCATGAGCCATCAAGCCTAGTCCTTGCTTTGTTCTTTTAAGAGAACATAGGCGCTGGGCGGGGTGGCTTAAGCCTACAATCCTGGCACTTCGGGAGGCCCAGGTAAGAGGATTGTCTGAGCCCACTGGTTCAAGACCAGCCTGGGCAACTTCATGAGACCTCATCTCTACAATAAAAATTAAAAAATTAGCTGGGCATGGTAGCACACACTTATAGTTCCGGCTACTTGACCTGAGCTTAGCAGGTCAATGCTGGGGTGGCCATGAGCGTGCCACTGCACTTCAGCCTGGGCTACAGAGTAAGACTTCAACTCAAAAAAGAATAAAAAAAGAGTACATATGCTTCTTGACTTACTATGGGGTCACGTCCCAATAAACCCATCATAAATTGAAAATACTGTAAGTCAAAAGTGAATTTAAAACACGTGATCCACTGAACATCACAGCTAAGCCTAGCCTCCCTTAAATGTGCTCAGAACCCTTAAGTTAGTCTAAAGTTAGGAAAAATATTCCAACAACATACTCAACTGTAGACTATCAGTTGTTCACTCTTGTGATTGTGTGGCTGACTGGGAGCTGTTGTTCACTTTCAATTACCCAGCGTCACAAAAAAGCATAATGATGCTTTCTGCTGAATACACATAGCTTTTGTACCCTTGTAAAGCTGAAAAGTTGTAAGTCAAACCAGACTAAATTGGAGATCATCTGTAAATCTTGAAGGTCATTCTATATTTTTTCTATTTGTTTTATTTAAATACCAATGGACTTGAAGCAAGTTATACTTAATAGATATAAAAACAAAGTTTTAAAAATAAGAAACACAGCACTGCCTGGGTAAAGTGCTTTTTTCATAAATTTATATGCTGGTTTTGCCTAATTATGGGAGAATAAAAATATTTTATGAAATTAACAAATAGTATAAATTTGAGTTAGGCATGAGCAACGAATAGAACCTTAGATTTATTTTTATGGTTTCAAATGCCAGGTCAATACAAGTACTGTTAATTTGTAGCCTTTCTGTGGAGTGCAAATGCTAAAATTGGACCACTATTTTTAAAACTTGAGGCAAGAGATAGAAACCATTTTGAATACAGGAAAGGAAATGCAGGAACACCGAAACCACAGAGATTCAAAGCCAGCCACACAGAAATAGCATTTTGCAGACCCAGGGAATTATACTTCATTATCCTAAAAAGACTATTTAATCTCTTTCAACACAAAATAAGTATGCCTGTAAATAGTTTTAAAAGTAGTACAACCTTCTAAGTGAGAATTCAATAAAATGAATATTTAATGCTAAGATGTAAAAAACTGCATCTGGGGGAAAGATGGCTTCCCACCTACCCCTTTTTCCTATTCCACTGACTTGCGCTCTTCAGATTTTTTTTTTAAAACAATGTAGAATTAAGTAGTGGTCAATGGTATATTTAACAACAACAACAACAAAAAGTTTTAATTGCACCTGTAATTAGAACCAGGCTCCAGAAAAACTGTAAGAGATAGAAACCTATGATCTTGAAACGGCACCAGAAATCCTAAGCAAATTTGTATACAGATCACAAATGACAAATGCGCCATACTCTTAGAGGGCTTCACACACTTTAATAAGATTTTTAAATCATCAAGGAATAGATTATTTAAGAAATTGATCATCCAGAAAAATTAGGGATGATATTGAACCCTTTATATAAATATAAGTGCATAAAAATGTATAAAAAAGATTTCCCACATAGCTTCAGTTCCCGTTGTCCTATAAAGCACTCATTTTCACTTATTTTCTGAGGTATATATTAACTGATATAAATACAGCGTAATTTTTATTCATCTTTAGCTTTACATTGAATAGACAAGCCACTAGGTCATTTTAAAAGTAAGAGCTTCTTTGATACATTTGGAGTTAATTTTTGTGTATGGTGATAGGTGGGGGTCCTTTTTCAATCTTCTACATGTGGTCAGCCAGTTTTCCCAGCACCATTTACTGAATAGGCTCTCCCCTCCCCAGTGGTTGTTGTTGGAGGCTTTGTCAAAGATGAGTTGTTTGAGGAGTTGAGGCTTTACTTCAATTGGTCTATGTGCCTGTTCTTGTACCAATACCAGGCTGTTTTGATTACTGTAGCCTTATAGTAAAGTTTGAACAATGTGGTGATTTCTGAAAGAACTAGAAATTGACCTTCCATATGACCCAGCAATTCCTCTATTGGGAATATACCCAGAGGAACTCAAATCATTGTCCAAAAAGATACCTGCACACCTGTATGTTTGTTGCAGCTCTATTCACAATAGCAAAAACATGGAACCAACCATGTAGCCCATCGAAGCTGGACTGGATAAAAAAAAAAATGTGGTACATATACACAGTAGAATATTATGCAGCCATAAAGAAAGACAAACATATAGACTTTGCAGCAACTTGGATGGATTTGGAGTCGATCATACTCAGTTATCTGTCATAGAAACAAAGAAAAGAGTACCATATGTTCTCACTTATAAGTGAACCTTGAACAATTATAATACTATAAGAAAGGGATTGGCAGTAGTGGGAAACTGTCAGGAGAGGGGGTGGGATTGGCAGTTGAGGGAAACTGCTAGGGAAGGAGGGGTATACCTCATCAACAAGGGTACCTGCATATTCAACATTTGTATACCTAACCCTGAATTGTACCCCACATCTTTATAATAAAAAATAAATAAAATAAAATAAAAGAGCTGCACTGCTATTTACTACAAGTCTTATAAGTGTAATTCTATGGAAATAAATATGAATATGAACAAGGACTTATCTACAAAGATGTTCACTAAAGCATTATTTATAAAGATAAATTGGAAGCAATGTAAATACCCTCAAACAAGGAATTTACCAAATAAGTTATGATATAGTAATACGTGGCCAGTAAATATTATGTTAATGAACATAATGACAATGTGTTAGTAAAAAAAAAAAAAAGAACGGGTTATAACATAGTATGGTCACATTGTTCTCTCCTCACAAAAGGTACACATGTGTTTTGAAAGTAAACCAGAAAGATAAAGACAACAAAAAGCTATTAGTTGATATTTATGGATAGTAAGATTATGGGTAATTTTAATTACCTGTTTTGAGAATCCGTTATCAATTATTTTCTGCAATGAATACCACCTTCTGACTCTTCTTACAACCTAGTAAGAAAAAAAAATATATATATATATATATTTTCTTTTTAATTCAAAGTCTCTGTTGCCCAGGCTGGAGTACAGTGACACACTCACAGCCACCCCAGCATTGACCTGCTGGGCTCCGGCGATCCCTCCACCTCAGCCTTTCAAGTAGCCAGAACTACACATGCGCGCTACCACTCCCAGCTAATTTTTTGATATATTGTAGAGACGAGGTCTCACCAAGTTACCCAGGCTGGTCTTGAACCCTGGGCTCAGGCAATCCTCTTGCCTCAGTTTCCCAAAGTACTGGGATTACAGGTTTGAGCCACCATACCTGGCCTATATATGTTTGTTTAGTTTGTCTTGCCTGCTCAGAACAAGAAGGGCCCCACTAAGAATATGAAGGACCCCACAGACCCTTACAGACCTTGCACGGGGTGGGGGGAAAGGATGTGGCAATGGTTGGATATTATAAAGCTGAACATTAAAACCACAAACCAATCCCAAAACAAGCAGACTCTAACTTACTTTGCCTTTTTTGTGGCTATTCTCCAAGTCTTTAAATTTTAATTTTTGATCTTATCTTGTACATTTATAAATCCTACAGTTTTCTCAAACTTGAAATGCTTATTTTACTGAAATAGTGGCATAAAATGTAAATAGATATTATACAGGCTATTGAGAAATATGCCCTATAAAAGCATAAGGTGTGAAAAATGGGTTTCTTTCCCTTACTAAGTCTGTTATTGTTTGGCCTATGCTGGGAGAGAATGTTACTGGGGGGACCTGTTTGTTCCTTGTTAGCCAGACCTCATGGATGATTTCTTCCAGGAAGCGTACTTCTTCTGTGCCTTATGTTGCTCAATAAATGTTTCCAAAGGACTCATGTTCTTTTTATAATATGCTTTTTCTAGACATAAAGACCTGAAGGTAACCTTTCCTGTCCAAAGATGGAAAACAGTACTACTACCATTTCTCGGGAGGAGCTTGAAGAACTACAAGAAGCATTTAATAAAATAGGTATGCTTGAGAAAAAGTACATATGATATTACTGTTCTGCTTGATTTCAGACTTCAGGAATGGAGCAATCCTTTTATTTCTTCTACCACCACCCAGTTACCCTAAGATTTATTCTTTTTTTTTTTTTCTATCTACATTTCACTGGATTCTTTCTTTCTGAAAGATAAGCTAAGACTGGCTTGAATTTCTAGGTGAATTGAACTTTGAATTCTTTGATAATTTCTTTGTAGAGAATAATCCAGGTTAATGAATGACAGTGTAACTGAATACATGTAACATGGTATCCTTATTACAGAAAAAAAACACCCACATAGAAACACTTCCTTGTTTATAAACTAAACTCTGGCCTTCATGTCTTTGCCACTAACAAAACACTTTCTGACTTCATGCAGAATATTTTTTAAAATTTGGTATTGTTTTAAGGCCGTATGTCTTATTTTTCTTCTCCCTCATGCATAATCTAAAAAGTCTTAGTATTGCTGTATGTCTTATTTTTCTTCTTTCACTTTTCAAAGTCACTTAGTGTTTTGTCTTTATGATTATCAACAGCTTTGTATTTTTCTTCCAAAACAATTTCCTCATACTCTGTTGGATCTCAGTTCTTCTGCATTTTGCTCTTGGAAAACCCATGGTAAACAAGGAGACTATAAATACCATTTTTTGCTTTAGTCTGGAAATGCATGCAAGTGAAAGGTGAGCCCAGTGAAAGGTGAGCACAGTGAATAGACATTGGTACAATGATACCACCGTCTTTGCCCCTTACTCATCAGGCTCCTTCTCTAGTGTAATAGGGCACTTCATGAAAAACAGAGTCAGTCATATGGTAGATCAGGGAGGATATAATGATCACAGTTTGTCTTATGTTTAGATTTCCCAGAAACCTAGTGGATAATGACTAAAATTAATGTAAGTGAAATGTAATGCAGGATGAGTTTTAGACAGTGAATAGACATTGGTACAATGATACCACCGTCTTTGCCCCTTACTCATCAGGCTCCTTCTCTAGTGTAATAGGGCACTTCATGAAAAACAGAGTCAGTCATATGGTAGATCAGGGAGGATATAATGATCACAGTTTGTCTTATGTTTAGATTTCCCAGAAACCTAGTGGATAATGACTAAAATTAATGTAAGTGAAATGTAATGCAGGATGAGTTTTAGAGACCAAAGGAAAAAAAGATTTAAGTTTAAAAGGTAGGCTGGGCGTGGTGGCTCAGCCTGTAATCCCAGCACTTTGGGAGGCCTAGGTGAGTGGATTGCCTGAGCCCGTGGGTACGAGACCAGCCCGGGCAACTTGGCAAGACTTCTTCTCTACAATAAATAAAAAATTAGTGGGACATGGTAGTGCACGCCTGTAGTTCTGGCTACTTGGAAGGCTGAGGCGGAAGGATCGCCGGAGTCCAGCAAGTTGATGCTGGGGTGACCATGCGCATGCTCCTGCACTCCAGCCTGGGTAATGGAGTAAGACTCCAACACACAAAAAATAAAATAAAATAATAAATAATAAATAAATAAGTAAATTAAAGGTAAAACTACCCCCCACCCCCTGCCTAAAAAAAAAAGTAAAACTCAGGAAGCTCACGGTTTACAAATAATGGCTGTGAAATGAAGTAAATTCTACAAATCTCTGAACCCTTCCATTTCTCCTGGGAATGGCATATTTGTCATTTAAGCATTGCGTGAATATGGTACAATTTTCAGAAAATTATTAATCATAAATTTTATGGAGAGTTGTATGCAATGCCTAGAATCTTTTCAAGACAAACAATGGGCAATTGTTGAATTGTTCTGCTCATTTGGGGCATTGAAACATAGGAAGTAGTAAAAATGTGTCTCCTAGTTTGGTATTTCTGTTATTTTATAAGTGCAATTTGGTAGCTTGAGTAAAAGTGCTACCTAGGTCTTAGTAAAGTGAATGAATTAATAATACATTTGCTTTATTTAGCACACCAACTTTAATTTTTGTGACTCATGGATACATAATCTTGCAATAGTTATTTAATGATTTTTTGTTTTTTGTTTTTGAGTTGGAGTCTCACTCTGTTGCCCAGACTGGAGTGCAATGGCCGCTTCTGGCCACCACAGCCTCGACCTACTGGGCTCTGGCAATCCTTCAGCCTCAGCCTTCCAAGTAGTTGAAACTACAAGTGCGCTACCAAGCCCGGCTAATATTTAATGATTTTTTGAATGAACAAATCACTAATGGAACCATTTTGACAGCAAGATAATTTGCTGTTTGAGGGAAATGCTAACACTAGCAGAATATATACTTGCTGACTTTATTTGCAAAATAAACTGCTATTCATGAACTCAGCAAAATCTCTGCTAATGTTTACCAAACAACTTTTCTCAGAGACAGAGGTACATACCCAGCCATCTTTACTAGACAGGATATTTTTGGGCCACTGGAGAGAAGTAGAGAGTTCAAACATTTCTCACACTTTCTCTTTTTTTTTCCCCTGAAATTGTGGTGAAGTAGATGTAACAAAATTTACCATCTTATCCATTTTTTAGTGTATGGTTTGATAGCATTAAGTACATTCACATCATCCTGCATTCATCACCACTATCCCTTTCTTGAACTCTTTTCATCCTTCCCAAACTGAAACTCTATATCCATTAAACAACAATTCTCCATTTTCTCCTCCCTCAGCACCTTTTAACCACCATTCTACCTTCTGTCTGTGTGAATTTGACTACTCTAGGTACCTCATGTAAATGGAATCATACAGTATTTATCTTTCGTGACTGGCTTATTTCACTTAGCTTAATGTCCTCAAGTTTCATTCATGTTGTAGCATATGCCAGAATTTCCTTACTTTTAAAGACTGAGTAATATTCTATTGTATGTATAAGTCACATTTTGCTTATCCATTCATCCACTTGGGTTGCCTCCACCTTTTGGTTAGTGTGAATGAGGCTTCCATGAACACAGGTGTACAAATACCTTTTCAAGTCCCTGCTTTCACTTGTTTTGTATGTACACCCAGAAGTAGAATTGCTAGGTCATATGGTAATTTTATATTTAACTTTTGGAGGAACTACCAAACTGTTTTCCATTGTCAGTATACCATTTTACATCCCCACTAGCAATGTACAAGGGTTTCATTTTCTTTACATCTTTATCCACACTTGTTTCCTGTTTGTTTGTTGTTGTTTTTTTAGTAATAGCCATCCTCATAGGTATGAAGTATTATTTCATTATGGTTTTGATTTTCATTTTCCTAATTTTAATGACATTTAGCATCTCTATGTGCTTATTGGCCTTTTTTTTAATCTTCTTTGGAGAAATGTCTATTCATGCCCTTTGCCTACTTTTGATCAGGTTGTTTGTTTTGTTGTTGCTGTTGAGTTATAAGAAAGTCTTCTTTCTTTTTAAACTGGGATTGTTATGGTTATTTAATTTAAGCCTTCATTTCCTCACCTTTAAAATGGGAATGATATTAGTAACTACCTTAATGTTGTTGTAAGGATTTCGTGAGGTTAGGTAAGTCAAGTTCTTAGCAAATCATTTGGCTCAGCATATATGCTCACTAAACTATTTCTGTTCTTGTCACATTACATTAAAACCACAGAGGTCATATGGATGGAGCTGAGATCTTAAGCACTTGGATTCAGAGCCCTAGCTCATAACTATTCTTGTGAGTTTAGCATGATGATTATTAGGTAAATAACTTCCTCAGTCTTGTTTATTTTAAAATATTTCCTACCATAGTACTGGTATAGAAGTAAGGCAGTCTAAACTTTTTATATATTTCAGAATTTTGGGAAACAATTCTAAACTGGTGATGTACTCATAATGAGCTTTTCCTCTAAATTTAACGAAAACAATATCATTGCAGTATCAAGCAATTTAGCTTCCTAGCTGATTTCTGCATTTATACCAATATTTTGGCTATTGGTAGTTCTAGTTTAAAAATAGTTCATCATTCTGAACAACATTAAATCTAAAATCCTAATAGGAAAGTTTCAAAGAAAAGTTTCTGTCCTTACCATTAATTCAGTTATAGTGCTGACAGCTCTTTAATTGAACAGAAAAAGAAATATAGGAAACAAAGCAACTATTACCAGATGAGTAAAGAGAACCTATACAAGGGGGATCCAGGCAACAAACACAACAATCCAAAGCTCTGCTACCAACTCTAGGCAGAAGTGTTTTGTGTCACCTTTGTTCTGAGTCAAGAAGTGATACCCAGTCTCTAGGGAAAACCCAGGGAAGGGCATCTCATTGATGACATGAAAACACCTGGAAACCTGTTTCCAAAAGTCCAAATATAGGTGTGAATTTCTTGAACACCTAATCTCAAAATGATATCAAACATGATTCAGCATATATAATGGTGTCATAAATACATAATGAAGAAGCAATGAATTATTGACAAATGAAATAGAACTGCCCTCAAGTTAAATGTAGAGCAAAAATGCCTTATGTGTATTTTGTATGATGCACACATTTTATAGGAATGTGGGGCCAGCAGATTCATTTTGTAAAATCCACCAAGAAGATAAAGTCTGGGTGGGTGCTCCCTTTTGACCACTGCATATTTTCAGCTCTCTGAGACTTCCCTATGCTTATTTCTTTGAAACTTAAGTCATGTGCTAAAAACTGGGTGTTCTGTCTATCAGAGCGATGGTGATAGTATATAATTAAAATACACATGGTAGTCCTAAATCTATGGGGATAACCTCCATATAAATATGAAGTGTTTTTTCGGTTGTTTGTTTTTGTTTTGTTTTAGAGAGATGGGGTCTCTCTCTGTTGCTCAAGCTGGAGTGCAGTGGCACAACATAGCTCACTGCAACCCTGAACTGTACTCAAAGCGATCCTCTGGCCTCAGGCTTCTGAGTAATTGGAATTAGTGGCTTAAATATGAGCTTTTTGAATGAAGCATATAGCATACCCTGTATAGTTCAGGTGCAGGAAAAAAGTTACTGTTACTTGTGAAGCAAACATGGAAAATTCTGCTTGCTTGTGAATCCCTGAGATGGCTTTCTGAGTGCACATTTTCAACAAAGAGTACAAAGGATACTTGATAGCTCATTATTTGTCTTTACAGATATCGACAACAGTGGGTATGTCAGTGATTATGAACTTCAAGACTTGTTTAAGGAAGCAAGCCTTCCTCTCCCTGGCTACAAGGTGCGCGAGATTGTGGAGAAAATTTTAGTGGTTGCTGACAACAACAAAGATGGCAGAATCAGTTTTGAAGAGTTTGTGTCTGTAAGTAATTTAATCTTCTCCCAGCTACTGATTATTTTGCTTTAAGCAGAAGTTTAATAATGCTATTGCTAGCTTTAGTTACATGCAGTTGCAGAGACTAGGAAAAGCACTGTGTTTTGTTTTGTGTTTTTTGAGTTGGAGTCTCACTCTCTCACCCAGGTTGGAGTGCAGTGGCACACTCAACGGCCACCCCAATGTCGACCTTCTGGCCTCAGGCAATCCTTCCGCCTTAATCTTCCAAGTAGCCGGAACTACAGGCACATGCTACCACGCCCGACTATTTTTATTTTATTTTATTGTAGAGATGAGATCTTGCCAGGTTGCTCAGGCTGTTCTCAAAAGCACTGTTTTAAAATGATGATAATAATTATTATTACAGAAATCATTTTTATAAATAATTAAAAAAACATAAGGAAAAAATCATTCATAAATTGTTGGAATGGAGGTCAGGTTTGGATAATAGTAATTCATTCCCCAGAATAACAAAAGTTGAGCTCAGTGCTTACTGACCACTAATATAATTGAATAAATGTTTGTAAAATAAAAATGGTCTGGTTTTGCATTCTTTATTAATTAAGCAAATATTTTAACTCTTCTCAGAAATTTTGCTAGGCATTGTGAATAATGTGATGAGTAAAAAGAAACATGGTCCCTGCTTTCATGGAGTTTATATGTGGTGGAGAGGACTGAATCATACAAATTTATGACAGATAACAACTATGCTAATTGCGATGACAGAGTGGTATAGGTCCCATGAGAATCTGTGGTAGAGAATTAAATTTGGAGAGGAGGTAGAGAATCCAGGGACTCTGGGAAAGTGTCCCTGAAGCTATGATGACTGAGCTGAGTTCTGAAGAAAGATGTTAGACAGACAAATGTGAGTTGGGGGAAAATGAATAATGTGGGAGATGGGTAGACTTGACAACATGTGTAGAGACCCTGTGACTTTAGAGATGATGGCTATTGTCAAGGAATTGAAAAAGAGTGTGCTGGAGCTGAGATGGCAAGGTATGTAGCTGGAGAAGTAAATCAGAACCAGGTCTTTACAGGGCCAAGTAGAATTTTTGGTTTTATGTTAAGAGCAATAGAAAGCCAATGAAGTGGGAGGAATAGAGAGTGATCTAACATGATCAGATTTACATTAAAAAAAAATTACTTTGGCTACTGCATGGAAAACTGATTGAATTTATTCTTGCCAATTTCTGGAGAGTCCAGTGTGAGAGTGATTGGGAGAGGGAGTTTCTGTAAGCCTATGGTATGTCCTATAAGAGCTGACTTATTTACTTGAACATGTATTTATTTGAGGTGTTCAGGCAGGGAAATACCTTCATTAAAGCGTTATTTTATCTTTCTTATGTAGTTAGTTATTTCTTAGGTTTTCAGTATAAAATATTATGGTAGGCCAGGCTTGGTGGCTCAGCCTGTAATCCCAGCACTTTGGTAGGCCGAGGTGAGTGGACTGCCTGAGCCCTTGGGTTCGAGACCAGCCTGGGCAACTTGGCAAGACTGTGTCTGTATAATAAATCAAAAAATTAACTGGGCTTGGTAGTGCGCTCCTGTAGTTCTGGCTACTTGGAAGACTGAGGTGGATGATCGCCGGAGCCCAGCAGGTCGATGCTGGGGTTCTAGCCTGAACGATGGAGTGAGACTCCAACTCAAAAAAAAAAAAAAATCATGGCAAGTCAAGAAGAACAATTTCAGTGTGTTCATTTTGTGTTTAGTTATTCAAAAGTTTATTCCAGTGTTTGGGATGCAAACCTTAGTTGACTTTGTTTTACTGGTAAAATATCAAGAGTTTTCTGTCTATACAAGCCAATAAGTACAAGAACACGCATTAGTATTTAACTTGGTGTCACTTCAAATAAATAAAGACAGCTGAATAAATATCTTTCATAGTGCCAGGTTTTTAATGATTATATGATCAAATCTCAACTTTATTTCTGTTTTATTTCAGCTAATGCAAGAGTTAAAAAGCAAAGATATCAGCAAAACATTCCGAAAAATAATTAACAAGAGAGAAGGGATTACTGCCATTGGAGGAACTTCATCTATTTCCAGTGAGGGCACACAGCATTCTTACTCAGGTAACCAGCCACTCCAAATTTTATCTTTTAGTTATTGATTCATTCAATAAGTGCCATAGTTCATCAAATCTATGATGCCATCCAGTGTGATTCATACCAGTATTTTATGTGCCACTGAGGGAAAAATACTGCAGACCAAATGATAATATGCCATCAAATTTGAAATGCATCTCAGTTTCAGAGTTGTCAAAATGAAAAAAATCCTAGAATCATTGAAATCAATGAGTTTTTATTTATGTGTCAGGCTCAGTCCACACCTAAAAATTAAAAAAAAAAAAAAGAAGTCGTTTATATTTTAGCACTGGATGTGTTTAATAATGACTTCTGAGTGGCTTTTTCATCCTGACTGGTGAGGTGGCTTTACTTTTAGACCTGATCTAGGAGTGATGAAGAAGCTTATAATAAGGATTTTTCTCTTCCATTTTCCAAGAGCTGAGATACCTGCTTCATCAAGCAACCAAGTGACTAGACTAGAGCACAGCACTTGATTTGCTTGATCTGATAAAACTACTGGATTGTTGCCTAGTAGGAAATACAGAGTCACATTAACTCTTAAGACAAGGTGTCTTGTCCCATGTTAAGCTTACTTCTCAGGGTCAAAATGTCTAAGAACCTTTGGCCAAGTTCCTTTCATTTATATGAACATAATTATGCCTTTTGACTTTTTGACAAAATTCCCTGTAACTTTTTTCCTCACATGAGAGTTGAGTCATGTAATTATTGTCTTGATTCTTGGATTTTTCTCTAACAGTACTCTCAAATTTGATCTGTCCATTGTATTTTTTTTCGAACCTTTTTCCACTAGGCAAGCAGTGGTAAAGTCAGTGGTCCATACTCTACTTCCACTTTTTGAAAAGTATTCACCCCTTAACTCAACTTCTGCCTGTCAATTCTACTGAAATGGTTTCTTTTTAAAAATACAAAAAATAAAAATTATTGAGGTATAATATACATTCAGCAAAATGCTATAACATAAGTATACAATTTAAATAGTTTTTACATGTGTATATATCTACGTCACTGCCAGTCAGATCAAGATATAGAATATTTCCATCTCCCTGAGTGACTCTCTCATGCCCCTTATAGTAACTGTTCCTCCCTGGAGGTAACCACTTTTCTGATGTCTGTCACCATAAATTTTTGTTTACTTGTTTATTGAGATATAAGAAACACATAGTAAAGTGCATAAAATCTGCTATTCCTAAGTTTATGGCTTGATTTTTAAAAAATCTGTGAATATACCCATGTAACTATTATTTAGAACAAGATATAGAATGTTAAATACCTTTTAAAAAACAGCACCTTTATTGAGATAGACTTGACATCCCATGAAATTCACCCTTTTAAATTATACAATTCAGTAATTTTTGAACATTTTCAGAGTTGTACAATTATCACTATTTAATTTCAGAGCAGTTTCATTATCCCAAAGAGAAATCCCATACTCATTATTAGTCACTCCACATTTCCACCTTCCTGAAACTTCTGCAACCATTAATCTATTCTTTTTCATTAGATTTTCCTGTTCTGGACGTTTTATATCAATGGAATCATACCATAGTGACCTTTCATTTGATAGGCTTCTTCACTGGCATAATATTTCAGTGTTCATCCATGTTTGGCATACATCATACTTCATTCCTTTTTATTGCTGAATATTCCATTCTATTCGTAATACCACATTTTTGTTTATCCTTTCATCAATTAGATTTGCTTCCTAAGTGAGTTGTTTCTACTTTTTGGCTATTATGAATAATGCTGTATGAACACTCGTATTTTTGTGTGGGCATATGCTTTAAATTCTCTTAGGTGTATACCTCGGAGTAGAATTGCTGAATCTTTTGGTGACTCTATGTTTAACATTTTAAAGAACTGCCAAACTGTTTTCCAAAGTGGCTGCACCATTTTACATTCCCACCAGCAATGCATGAGGGGTCCAGTTTCTTCACATCCTCACCAACACTTGTTTTTGTCCATTTAAAAAATTACAGCCATCCCATTGGTTGTGATGTTGCATCTCATTCCTGGTTCCCATACCTGGAACATTCTTTCTTTCCTTGTCTGTCTTCACCTACTGAAAACCTATCTTTCAAATAGTACTTCCTCCATAAAGTCATTTCTTGATCACTCTAACTAGAAGTGATTATTTCTTTCTTTATATTTTTAACATATTGCATATATCTCTCTAGTGGTTTGTGTATTTCCTTTTGTCACATTTCTTTGTTTTATAATTGCACTAAAAATTCCTTGATGACAGGTACAGTATTTTACTAATCTTCAAATCCCTAGATTCTAAGTCTTTCTAAGAAATTATGTATGATAAGGCAAGAAGATAACAAGGCAGATTATAATATGTACAGAGAAGAAATATTAGTATTTGTGTCTTCATTGACTCTGTGTGTGTGTGTGATAGATTAAATTTTAGGAAGACCTGCCAAACATGCCTTTATGAAAATTACCGATTGGGCTCAGTGGCTCAGCCTGTAATCCCAGCACTTTGGGAGGCCGAGGCTAGTGGATTGCCTGAGCATGTGGGTTTGAGACCAGCCTGGGCAACTTGGCGAGACCTCGTCTCTACAATAAATCAAAAAATAGCTGGGCATGGTGGCGCATGCCCGTAGTTCCAGCTACTTGGAAGGCTGAGTTGGAAGGATCACCTGACCCCAGCCGGACGAGGCTGCAGTGGCCGTGAGCATGCCACTGCACTCCAGCCTGGGCGACAGGGTGAGACTCTAACTCAAAAAACAAAACAAAACAAGTTACCTAATTCTGGGAACTGGGGCAATAATGGGGAAGACCAACTTATTTATGCTACCCTCTGATAGAAATGGAGACAATTTACTTTGAGGATTTCTATTGTTAAATGAGTTTTATATTTACATAATAATAATAAAGCTGTAGAACATTTTTATTTTCCCACTGCATAACCTAACAACATTTTCTGCCTAAAGATCAGTGTTCCTGTACTGGAAGCCACGTGTTGAGAAGTTATTATGAAGGTGGTTAAGAGTAGTGTTTCTAGATTTGTGTCAGCGCCACAGAAGTGGAGCTGTTTTATTCATTTGAATAACTCTTGATTGAATTCAGTATTCTATTGTAAGCCAAAAATCACAGCTTTCTAAATCTTTTTTAGGGGGTAGAATTTATTGCCATGGATATTTCATTCTTGTTAATATGTATAGGAAATATATGTATATATATATAAAATACATATTTTTAATATATATACTTGACCTCTGACCTCTGGTAGTCTGCTTCTCATTCATTGGCTTTCAGAAGCAATACTTATTTGGAAAGATTTTTGAATCAAATCAAATATTTATTGTGTTCACTTAAGATACATACCTTATTCTCCTCTAATATAGCAGATGAAAAATTGGAATGAATTCCCTTTCCTTCTTTTCTTAAGTCTTTTAGTATTTTAGTAGAATTTTAATAAGTCATTTGTTATCTTTGAGCAGAAATTTAAAAGTATGTTTTGTAGTGCAGTAAAGTTTGTGAAATGAGATTTGCCTATCAAGATTTTCTCTTTTCAGAGGAAGAAAAAGTGGCTTTTGTTAACTGGATAAACAAAGCCCTGGAGAATGACCCTGACTGTAAACATCTTATACCCATGAATCCCAATGATGGCAGTCTTTTCAAGTCACTTGCAGATGGCATCCTTCTTTGGTGAGTGGAGTACCAGGTTAGGGAGCTATGTTCTGACTGTCCTATTGATGAACATTCCATGAAAACTACAATTCAGTGAATCCATTGTCTCTTGGAATTAATAGCTACTTAGATCTTAAAGGATTTCTAGTACATAGAAAATTAAGTACAAGTGTATGTGTGTTGGAAAATTTCCCCTCAGTGCCCCTTATTTTTCTTGTGTTTTTTGTATGTGTTACCATAATAAGACTAAGAGAATTCTAAGTTATTCCTCAGATGCATTTTTAAATGTTGACAGGGTTTATTTTTTTACTTCCCAGTAAGGGAGTATTGATTATTGCCTGGAATAGGCACTCGAGAAAATGCAAAAGGAAAATATACCTTATTTGTACCTAAATGAAAAGGATGTTTTAATTCAGCCTTGTGTTATCCTTGGGTCTCAGCAGTCTGTGTCTGCTCACTAGATTGTAAACTCTCTCAGGGCATGTCTTTGTCTTTGTTGTGTGTAGTATAGTCCCTGGCACCCTTCTTTGGACAAAGCGAGTATGTTTTTTAAGTTTATTAAAAGTACAGAAAAACTTACAAAAAAGAAAATAATCATAACAAATATTCTTACCACCCATAAGTAACTATTATTAACATTCTGGCACATTTCCTTTAGTCTTTTTTCTGTATTTTTAGGACATTATGTATGAAATATACCTTAACATCCAGCTACCATTCTGATTTCTCTGATCTTTAGAGAAATTTCCATTATGAATTGAATGGGTATTTTCCTACCTTTGTTTAAAAGATAAAATTCTAAAATATAGAGATAAAATTTATATTAATTTTTAAAATGTCTGTATTATTAAAATCTTAGAAAGGCAAGATCTCTGGCTACTTATTTTTCTGCAACAACGGTAATTTTAACTGTGTTGAAGCTATGAAACTTGGTTTCTTGTGAATTTCTTTCTTTTTTTTTCATTTTTAAAGTTGTATGGTACAAGTCAGGAGAGGGTGCATACGTGGTTTAGCACGGGTGAAGTTTTGGGCCTCCCATTGGACCGCAGTTTGCCTGGATTAGGATCAGGCACCTTACTGATGTTATGTGTCCCCCTTCTCCCTTTCCTGGCAGTGTCCCGCTACTGCCAATCTCTTTTTTGTAGTTTCATGATAGGTGTTCAGGGTTCACTTATGAGGAAGAACATGTAGTACTCAGTTCTTTGTTTCTGTAATAGATCAGTGAGTATCATAGACTCCAAATGCATCCAAGTTGCTGCAAAGTTCATAATTTTGTCCTTCTTTATGGCTGCATAATATTCTATCGAATATATGTACCACATTTAAAAAATCTAGTCCAGTTTTGATGGACAGCATGGTTAGTTCCACGTTTCTGCTATTGTAATAGCGCTGCAGTAAACATGCATGCGCAGGTATCTTTTTTGTAGAATGATTTGAGTTCCTCCGGGTATATTCCCAGAAAGGAGATTGCTGGGATGTATAGAAGGTCAATTTCTAGTTCTTTTACATTTCTAGTTCAGAGGCTGAACTAGTTTGCACTTCTACCAACAGTGTAGAAGCATTTCCTTTTCTTGGCATCCTTGCCAGCTTGTTGTTTTTTTGTGTTATTAATGATGGCCATTATTATTGGAGTTAGGAGATATCTCAGTGCTGTTTTGATTTGTGTTTCTCTGATGATTAGTGAGGCTGAGCATTTTTTCATGTATCTATTGGCTGCTCATATACCTTCTTTTGAGAAGTGTCTTGTGAATTTCTTTGTTTACATTTCAGACTGCTTGAATGTTGATGATAATTAAGTGAAATAAAGGCAAGATATAAAGAAATTGCAGGGTGGCTAAAAAAAAAAATTAGGAGTAAATGCTAAAATCACTACTGCCATGAGTGATGGTAGATTTGTTTTAAGACAGGGAATATTTCTTCGATTTTGAAAATTAAAATCCTGACATGAATTACAGTTTAACTTTTTTTTTTTTTTTGAGATGGGATATTGCTATGTTGTCCAGGCTGGCCTCAAACTCCTGGGCTCAAGTGATATGCCTGCCTTAGCTTTCCAAGTAGCTACGACTACATGTGCATCCTATTGTGCTTGGCTTATAGGTTAATATTGAAAAGAAATGAATTATTATTTTTCAAAATTTAACTGTTACTTGCAAAAATAAAGTAAAAATATCCTTTGGAGTTTTAAAGTAAATTATTCTCATTTTCTTTTTAGCAAAATGATCAATTTATCTGAACCAGATACAATTGATGAAAGAGCCATTAATAAGAAAAAGCTCACACCTTTCACTGTTTCTGTAAGTATTTTCCCTTTGCTTGTAATAATGTTAATATGCTGAGAAATGTAAGACCTTCCTTAAGGATTTTGGATCTCTTCATTACTACATGTAAAAAATATTCAGTGCAATTAATATACTCTTGTAAAAAGTACATATGGCTATACTTTATACTTACCTATGTATATAAACATATGCATTCATATGATCTTAATTTTACCTTACATACAATTACAGTTTAAGTGGATGTTTGGGCCCACATAAAACCTTTGATTGAATGTAATTTTATTTTTCTATAAAAAATGACTTTTTTTTTTTGAGTTGGAGTCTCACTCAGTCGCCCAGACTGGAGTGCAGGGGCCGTTTCCGGCCACCGCAGCCTCGCCCTGCTGGGCTCCGGCGATCCTTCCGCCTCAGCCTTCCAAGTAGCTGGAACTACAGGCGCGTGCTACCACGCCCAGCCCATTTTGATTTTTATTGTAGAGATGAGGTCTCGCCAAGTTGCCCAGGCAGGTCTCGAACCCGCGGGCTCAGGCAATCCACTCACCTCAGCCTCCCAACGTGCAGGCTTACAGGCTGAGCCACTGAGCCCAGCTAAAAAATGACTTTTTATTAAATAAAAATTTAGCTGCATTGTGTGATGAGTGAAATTAAAATACAGTGTACTTCGGATGTACTTTTATTTAAGTTAATAGGATTCAGCTTATGTTGTTGTAATTATTGTGTTTTTTATGGATGAATACTTGTTTGATGCCAGTGTTCTTGCAGATTGGTTGCAAAAAGAACATTGCCATTTTATCCATTTCACAACATTTTAAACTATGCTTTTTGCACTAAATTGTTTTGTAATTGGTTTTTCCATACAGATCTTATGAAAGTTCAGAATTTATTGTTACCATACCTTTTCCTTCAAAATCTCTAGAACAATGGGTGGATATTAATATTTACTAAGTATTTACTAGGGTCTAGTTGCTGTTCTAAACACACTATGTGAATTATTCCCTTGACACCCAGCAACTTCATAATAAGGAATATGCTCTGATTTTACAAATGAGGAAACCAAGACACTGGCAGGTTACACAGTGGCAGAGCCAGGATATAATCCCAGTTGTCTCATGCCAGAGCTTATCCTCTGAATCACTATGCTATACTGCCACTCTCATGTGATGGTCGTTACAGCAACTATTTAATACGTGGCCACAACAGTGTTGCATATGCCTAGTTGAAACTACATACTTGAAGAAGCTTATTTCCAATTACAATTGCTAAGTATTGCATAGTTTTATTTTTAGAGATAGCATTCTTCCAATATGAGTGGGGATAGTAGTCTAAGCCTTTAGGATGCTTGACAGAGAGGGCATTATGCAGAATGAGAAAAAGTCCTGGGAGTAGGTCTGCTAGAAAATTACTTGTTTTACGTGAAACTTTATCATGAAGAAGCCTAATTCATTTGTAAAGATTGTGGTAATACAGTTTTTCACCTTCGGATGGTGGTTTTATATGGTATCATGATATATGAAAAAATCAAATATAAAAGAATGAAAATTATGTACAGAAGTTATGAAAGCAAGAGAAAAGGACACATCAGCAGAACTCAGTGATGACCTTAGACATTTTCTCATATTTTTCTTTTTCTTTTTTCTTTTTTTTTTGAGTTGGTGTCTCACTCTGTTGCCTAGGCTGGAGCACAGTGGCCACTCGCAGCCACTGCAGCCTCAATCTGCTGGGCTCCAGCGATCCTTCTGCCTCAGCCTTCAGAGTAGCTGGAATTATAGGCACATGCTACCACGCCCGACTGAGTTTTTTTATTTATTGTAGAGATGAGGTCTCGCCAAGTTGCCCAGGCGAGTCTTGAACCCGCGGGCTCAGGCAATCCACCCACCTCAGCCTCCCAAAGCTTGGGATTACAGCCTGAGCCACCGAGCCCAGCTCATATTTTTCTTATACACATTTTACTAAGCTTCACTCTTGAGCTTGCCATCATTGAAAGAAACATGCTTATATGAGTAAGACTCTGCAAAACAGATAGTAGTAATTTCAGGACTTAGGAAACCAACACAAAGTTATTGAATATTGAATAACAATTGGATATTGAATCTCTTCATTACTACATGTAAAAAATATTCAGTGTAATCAATATACTCACATATATAAAAAGCACACATGTCTATACTTTATACTTATATATGTATACAAACATACACATTCATATGACCTTAATTTTACTTTACTTATAGTTTAAGTAGGGAAAACGTTATAAATCATTATAACTTAGAATTGGACATTCTAAATGGAGTAAAAGTGATGATGTGTAAAATAGGAATGAAATCTGAATAACAAATCATGACTTTATTCTTATTGACTCAATAAGTATATAGCACAGTTCTCTCAAATCATTAACAAAAGTATACTTGTTTGACCTGGGCGTGGTGGTGCATACCTGTAGATCCACTAGTCGGGATGCTGAGGTGAGTGGATTGTTTGAGCCCAGGAGCTCGAGGTCAGCCCGGATAACATAGCAAGACCCAATCACTAAAATAAAAAAAAAAGTATACTTGTCCAGAATTGAACCTTTATGAGAAATGCACATTTCCAAATAGGTAGGAATTAAAAGAAAGAAAATTTACAGCACATATTTGAGACTGTTGGTAAAGAGTTAGATAGTTTATTAAAATAGAAGGCACATGGGAAGCTTTCTAAAATAGCAGTATAAATATGCTACCTGTTAAGGTGGGCTTTATTTTAGCCACAGTTAGTTCATTGATGCACAAAACAATGGGAGAAAATGGATGAGTAATACAAGACAAATTGCCACATTTGCTCAATTCTTTTGTTAGTATCCCTATAAAGTGAGGCACAGATTAGGATGCTGAAATACAGGGAGGACTACCTCTCTTGTCCCAATTGTTTGGGATTCCCCAATGTCCTCATTTTCCCCCACAAACACAAGTCTTCAGGAATGAAAGTTGGGCAGTCAGGGCTGTTGTCCATGCTGAGACTAGGATAGCAACCTCTCCATAGAGTTCTCCTATTCTTATTTTTAAGATGTTTAGAAGTGGTTTTACACAATAGTGGCATCCCATTCCCCGCTAACTGGAAGAACAATAATGTTTTATGTACCAATTAGAAACTACCAATTACTTGAAGGATGCACATAGTGATGCCTTGCTTTCAACCCATTTTTTTAAAAAAGCCAATTACTAGTAAGACATCTGCTATACTTGCAAAGCTAACACTTTTGAATAAAACTGATGTCAAAAGCTGTTTTCCCCTTGTATCACCAGCTTTAATAAGACAAAGCTGAGTTAATTGCTTTACTTCAGTAAGAGAAAACACCACCTACAAAGCTTTGGTAGTGTCTTGGTGTTTGGAAGGTAAGGACAGCATTTGAGAATTGGAATTGTGGTTTAAAGTGGGTCTTTCAATGAGAGAGGGGTCTGATTCAGACTGGATAAGAATGTTAACTCATTCATGTCTGCTGACATGACTTTACATCATTTCACATTCCGTTCCTGGTTGCCGCTGACGTGAATTTACCTCATTGTGGAAGACTGTCTTTTATATTTTTACTTTGAATAAAAATACAAAGTACGGAATGCTAGTCAAATTGGTGTCTGAGACAAATACTGGATATTCCTGCAATTTCAGCTGTATTGTGAAAATGGTGACAATTTAGAAAAGACTATTTCACTTGTGCTTAATAACGGAAGTTTGTGGCAACCAGCTTCAGGGTTAACTTTTAATTTTTTTATTTTAAAGATGTGGGGTGTAATTCTGGGTTAGGTATACAAATGTTCATTATGCAGATACCCTCGCTGCAGCTTCAGATTTTTTAAAATTTGCTGGTTACAAATGTGTTAATACAACAAGCCAAGACTGGTAAAAATAGCAAGGGGAAGATTTCAAGGAGCAGAAGTCAAAGTTTATATTTTAGGATATAAACTGTCCACTAATGTTTTCCATTGAAGAGTTAATGGGTTTTCTAGGTATCACCTACAGTGAAAAATCAAACTTTTGCCTAGGCTCAAGACTCCTGGAAGAAGAAAGTCAAGTTAATGAGAACAGAGGAAGAGTAAAGTTATGTCAGCGAAGACAAAAGGAATAGCATACAAAATCATGTTAATGTAGACAGTAAAGTATGATTTTGTTTGTCAGTGTCCAGGCCAAGAGTAGTGGTGGAAGATTTTGGGTCTTACTAATTATTATAATCAATTTAGTGAAGCCACATGCTACTTTTGGCTCATAGTACCATGCTGCCAGTTGCATATGAAATGGGTTATTGTGAGATTAACACTATTACTGGAATTATTTTTAGTCTAGTTCTTTCCCCTGCTGATGCATTCTGGGAGTCACAGCTGGAGCAAACATCCTTTATACTCTTGGAACTAAAGATAGAAAAATATTAGTGGTCAACCCTAAATTACCAGATGGTGTCTCTTGAAAGTCGTATTGATTTGACGTAGGGTAACTTAAAAGCATCTGAAACTATTAAAAATCTTCTAAGATTTCCATAAAATATTTAAAATTTATGGATAGTGTTTTCATATTTATCATGTTTACTTGTGAATTATGAGGTTATAAAGATATTGAAGGGGTCTCTGGTTTTGCTGCATATTTTGAGATAACCATATTTAAATGAACATTGCTTAATACAACTTCAAAAATAACTTAATTCCAAAAGCTTATTACTTTAGGCACCCTAGAGTGATACCCAAGAGATACAGCTATTTATTTACCTGGAACCCAGTAAGACAAATCACTTTAGCAGATTGCAGGAGGAAACCACTGAAATTATTCACCGTGCTTTGAGAATCTCTGTGCTTTGTTGCTGTTGTGACCAACACATACATAGTTGCTAGTACTACCACCATATGAGAATGTCAGTATAGCATGGTGAAAAGGGGCTGAACTCTGAAGCCCACTGGGATCATGCCCTGGCTCTGCCACTGTGTCACCTGTAAGTGCTGTAGTTTCCTTATCTGTAAAACCTATCTTGAGTTACTTTTTAAATGATCTGAAACTGAAACCTCATTGCAGATCACTTTTTAAAGGAATGCTTCCAAATGGGAACTTTACAGAAGTAAAAACATCATTAATCCAGCACTAATAAACTGAAGTTTCTACAGGAATATCATTACAATATCATATTTATAAATTATGTAAATGTGTTGATAATAATTCCCTTCTTTTCCTCTTTTTGTGTATATGCAAGCTACTATGAAAGTATAGGAAAGGGAGTGACTAATTTTACGTAGGGAGATGATTCAGGGAAATCCTCACAGAAGAGATAGTTCTTGATTTGAGAAATGAGCTTGTGACTTGAGAGAGGAACCTTACAGGCCAGGGGAAAGGACCTTCTCTCTTGGTTCAAGCATAGACTGTATATGTGAAATGTTGGGAGAGGCCAGAATCAAATCCTGAAGATTTCTGATTGTTCTCACTAAGGATTTGAACTTGACTCTCTCCTTTCCCTCCATTCACTCTTACTCATCCATCCATTTATTCAACAAATATTTATTGAGCATATACCACGTAGCACTTGGAAAACAGCCACAAAACGACCAAAGCTTCTGCTGTTATAGAGCTTATACTCTTAATTGGGAGACCAGTAAGTATCAATATGCCAAAGAGTGATAAGGAGTCAAATAGGAAACAACGAGTGCCCTCAGGGATTGTAGTGATGTTTGCTATTTATATAGGATGATCAGAGCAGGCTGCACAGATTAGGTGCATTCGAGTTGAGTCTTAAAGCAACTGTGGATATTTGGAAAGAGCATGTTCCAAGCAGAGAGATCTGTGTAGCTGGAACAAAGTGAGTGAGCGGAGACAGTGGGAGGGGCAGGGAACACTTGAAGAGTTTTAAAGGTGGAGACCACCATCAGATTTATAATTTTACTAAGAGCATTGACAGCTCAGCTGGAAGATGGATTGGAGAGAGTAAGAAGATGGATATAGGAAGAAAGTTAGGAAACTATTAAAGAAAGGCACTGACAGCTTTCAGAGGTATTTAGAAGGTGGAATTAACAGAAATTGGTGCTTAGATGTAGGAGGCAAGGAATAGACTCTATTCAGGTTTCTAGCTTAGGAAGAAAGAAAGCAAGAATGAAGATTCATCCTATCAACCAAGACAGTTAAGGAAGAGGGCTGGGCATGGTGGCTCATGCCTGTAATCCCAGCATTTCGGGAGACCAAGGCAGAAAGATTGCTTGAGTCCAGGAGTTTAAGACCAGCCTGAGCAACGTAGGAAGACCCCTGTCTCTACAAAAAATATTTAAATAAATAGATAAAGAAGATCTGATTTTAATAGGAATTAGAAAGAGGAAGACCTGGGAAGCAGGGCAAGAAAATTTGCTTCAGTGTTGGTCATGTTCAGTTTAAGGTACTTGTACAGTGTCTAGGTAGATATAACCAAGTGCATAATTACACATACAGCTTACAGTAGAGGCTCGGAGGAAATGTGGGCTGAAGATATGGGCTTAAAAGTCACTGGAATATAGAGGTAATAGTTAAAAACCATGTGATTTTTTTTTGAGTAATGGTATTTTGGTTGTATAAATATTACTTATATTTGGTGATCCATTGTTTCTTGCAGATGACTTGTAGATAATACTTTATTATTATTTTAAAACATAGAGACAGGGTCTCGCTAAGTTGCCTAGGCTGGCCTCAAATTCCTGGGCTCAAATGATCCTCCTGCCTCAGCTTCCCAGTGTACTGGGATTACAGATGTGAGCTCTTGCACCCGGACAAGACTTTAGAGAGTACTTCCTCACATGTATTTTTCTTTTGACAATTCAGGAAAATTTAAACCTAGCTCTGAATTCTGCCTCGGCAATTGGTTGCACAGTGGTCAACATCGGTGCACAGGATCTCAAAGAAGGAAAACCTCATTTGGTCTTGGGACTTCTCTGGCAGATCATCAAAGTTGGTCTTTTTGCTGATATCGAGATTTCCAGGAATGAAGGTAAGAGCATTAGAAATATTTTACTTTTCATTGACATATTCTCACTATTGGAAGAATTTACATTTCAGTGTTTTCCCCTCAGCTTTGATTGCATTGCTCAATGAAGGTGAGGAATTAGAGGAGCTAATGAAGCTTTCTCCTGAGGAATTACTGCTGAGATGGGTGAACTACCATCTGACTAATGCAGGATGGCGGACCATCAACAACTTCAGCCAAGACATTAAGGTTTCTATTTTAAGTTCAAATTTGTGACATGAGATGATGATGAGGAAAGTAAAAATAAAGGCGATTTAGGCGTAAATTTGAATTAAATTCACAAGGACACTTGGGGTGGAAAATGAAATTTTGCATTTCTCTGAAGTAGCTCTCTCAATTATATTCACTGAATCTTTTTTTTTTTAAACTCTTTTATAGCTGGCTCATGCCTGTAATTCCAGCATTTTGGGAGATGATGTGAGAGAACTGCTTGAGCCTTGGAGCTCAAGACCAGCCTGGGCAACATAGCAAGACCCAACTCTACAAAAAAATTTAAAAACAAAACAAAAAACTAGCCAGGCATGGTGGTGCACACCTGTGGTCCCAGCTACTCAGGTGATCAGGACTGCGGTGAGGTGTGCTTGTGCCACTGCACTCCAGCCTAAGAGACAGAGTGAGACCCTGACTCAAAAAACAAATAGTCATCCCCCCAAAAAACTAGCTGTCTTTTAGTAAGAACTACAACTAGTTGTGAGAGGAAGGAGGTGCTATCCTCAGCAGATTAAAACATTGTTTTCCATTTTATATGTCATAGATCTGCTAGGTTTTTTTGTTTTGTTTTGTTTTTTGAGTAGGAGTCACTTTGTCACCCAGGATGGAGTGCAGTGGCACACTCATGGACACCACAGCCTCGACCTGCTGGGCTCAGGTGATCCTTCCACTTCAGTTTTCCAAGTAGCCAGAACCACAAGCGCATGCCACTGTGCCCGGCTAATTTTTTGATTTATTGTAGAGACACAGTCTCACCAAGATGCTCATGCTAGTCTTGAACCCCTGAACTCACAATCCTCTTGCCTCTGTCTCCAAACTGCTGGGATTGCAGACATGAGCCAATGAGCCTAGATTTGCTAGATCATAATGAGGATGTCAGTCTGTTAGTTTGGATTAAGAATTACATCATTTGTTGGACTAGAGGCCTGATCAATTCAACACTCTTACTACCACTTGACCAGTAACCAGCTAACAGGAAACCAAATTATCTGAGGGTCCAGGGAATCAGTAGACAAAGGGGATCTTAAGGTATGTATATCAATCTGAGTAGCTTGAAGCACTTACCTCTCTACAGGGAAAGCCTTGTCAAGGAAATGATAACATTCACTTCAGTCTAACAAATCTTCCATGGTCAGTATCTGGATGGGCATTGCCATTACCAAACTGAGTCCTTGTGACTTTTTTCTTCTCTATGACTTTTCCCCCCAGAAGGGGAATAAAAATCAGTGCTGGCTATAATTCATGCTCCCCTTTAGTTACCACCTTTTAGTCAGGTTATCTTTTTTGCTACGATAACATAGATCAGTGGCCCCCAACCTTTTTGGCATCAGGGATCAGTTTCTTGGTAGATGATTTTTCCACGGGGTGGGTGTGTGGGGGCATTGTGCAGGCAAACCTCACTGCCTCAACTCCACATCAGATTATCAGACTGACATTTTCCTTCTCTGCTTTCATCTATTATATGCTGATTTAAAAGTTTATTATGAGAGTTCTCTTATTCTGAATTCTCTTAAAATTCAGCTTAGCAGACATTTTAAGCCCTTTCTGCAGGGTCATTAGAACCAGGGGATGCAAAGATGCAGCTCTTGAGAAGCTTACCAATTATACAGGGAGACAAACATCCAGTAGATGGATATTTCAGTTATCTACTGCTGTATAGTAAACCGTGTAAAACCTACTGGTTTAAAATAATGATTCTTTCTAATAATTTTGTGAGTTGATGTGGCTTGGCTGGGTAGTGGTTCTGCTTCACATGGTTTTGTCTGGGATCACTAACTTAGTTATGTTCATCTTGTTGGGTTCATCTGGAAAGTGCACAAAGGCTTTACTACCATGTCTGGTGCCTCAGTACTCCTCCACAGAGCCTCTTTACATGGCTATCTTGAGCTTCCTCACAGCATGACAGTTTCGGATGGTTGGATTTCTCATGCAAAGGTTAACTTGAAGAGGGAAGAAGCAGAAGCTCTTGAGATTTGGACTTGGAAGTCTCAGAACATCACTTTCATGGCATTCTGTGGATTAAAGTGAATCACAAGGGAATCCAAATTAAAGAGAAGGGGAAATAGCTTCTGCCCTTTGATGGGAGGGGCTACAAGTATGTTATGGGGAAGAATTATGACAGCTATCTTTGGAGACTACCATATTGGATGATCTAATACAATGTGATTGGTTTATTTATTGAGATGGGCAAGGAGTGCTGCGCAATATAGGGGGAGGGTATTTTGTTCATTCTTGAGAATCTGGGGAAGGTTTCCAGGAGATAATAATTGATTTGAATCTTAACTGATACTTGGATATGTAAACAGATGAAAAAGGTGAGAGAGAGTACACCAGGTATAGGAAACAGCATTTCTGGAAGATTTGGGGCGTGAACAGGACTGCTGGAAGCTTTAAAGCATGAAATAGCATGATGCATTCAGGAAACCTACAAGTTATTCTGTGTTACTAAAGTTACTAAGTTGTTATTCCATTCTTGGAGATGTGGCAATTTCCTTTGAGCACTTTTTTCCTAAATTCAGCAATGATTTTATTTATTTTAAAAATGCTATTTCATATCTTTCTTTGAAGGATTCGAAAGCCTATTTTCATCTGCTTAATCAGATTGCCCCTAAAGGTGACCGGGAAAATGGACCTGCCATTGCCATTGACCTTTCAGGATTTAATGTGAGTACAGTTTTAAATTTTTTAAATATATACTGTGGTAAAATATACATAACATAAAGTTTACTGTTTTTAACCTTATTATTATTAATTTTTTTTGAGTCGCAGTCTCACTCTGTTGCCCAGGCTGGGAGTGCAATGCACACTCACAGCCACTGTAGTCTCGACCTGCTGGGCTCAGGCGATCCTTCCACCTCATCCTTCCAAGTATCTGGAACCACAGGCATGTGCCATCATGCCCAACTATTTTTTGTTTTTAAATTACTCAGATGAGGTCTTGCTAAGTTGCCTAGGCTGGTCTTGAACCCCTGGGCTCAGGCAATCCTCATGCCTTCAGCTCCCAAAGTACTGGGATTACAGTCATGAGCCACTATGGCTGGCCTGTTTTTACTATTTTTAAGTGTACAGTTCAGTGACATTTAATACATTCACATTGTTGTGCAACTGCAACTATCACCACTATCCTTCTCCAGTACCTTTCCATCATCCTAGAGAAATTCTGTAACCATTCAACAGTAACTTCCTGTTTTCCCTCCCCACCCCATGTATCCCCCTGGTAACTACTGTTCTACTTTCTAACTCTATAAATCTGACTAGTGAGTGCAAATTTAGCATGCAATTCTCCACAGCAGCATTCCCTGGTGGAGCCCTTAGTCCTTCATTAAAACTTGGTCCTTTGCTCTTCAGAAGTTGTTTTTCATGCCCCTGACTCCAAGCTTCCATGTTGAGTCATCTGGCTGTCATAACTGACAAAAGTAAATAGCAGAATGGTGACCTTGAGTATTTGTGGGATCAGTCCTAAATTCACACAACCCTGGTGCAACACAACTGGAACTCACTAGGTTAGCTCTTATGACTATCAATGTGTGCCAGGAAAGAGAGCAACAAGCTGATTTTAGATTGCTAATCAATTGATTATTGGTTTTATCACCTTATATTTAGAGATACACAAAATAAAAGATGGAAATTCCTAGTGTTTATGATATAGGAAGGACTGATACAGTTTCTGATTCACTTAACACATTTCCTAGAAATCTCATTCTTTTAGCTTAAGTTGTAAATGCCAGAGATAGTTCTATCTAAATATTAAAATCTGATCAAACCATAGATTGTCTAAAAATATATTGCGTACTTAAAGTGCAGTATCCATAGTATTTGGTTTTCAAAGCAATTTGAGTCATTACTAATTAATTATATCTCACATTATTATAATAAAATATCTCAGAAACTTCGTATTGCAAAACTATGCAGTTATTATTTTAAGTAAAAAAAAATAGGAACTCAAAACTTATGAAAAACTTTGAATATATTCAAAAGGGAACAGATTTAGTGTACTAAACTACTGTGTGCTCATCACTTAGTTTCAACATCTGTCAACTCATGGGCAATCTTATCTGAATTATTCCCTATTTCCCTCCTCTCCTATATTATTTTTAAGCGAATTCTAGATATCATTTTATTGATGAATATTTCAACGTATTTCTGAAAGATAAAGACACCTTTTTAGTATAACCATAGTACTTCATCACACCTAAAAATTTTTAATAATAATCTGTAATGCCATCAAACTATCTAGACAACATTGACATTTCCACTTGCCTCATAAATGCCAAATATTCTTTTTATAGTTTATTTGAATTAAGACCTAAATAAGGTCCACATATTGTGATTTGATGTGTATCTTGGTGTTTCATTGTTGTTTAAGAATCGATTGCATTCTCTGATTTTACATTTTTATTTTTTTGCAACCTTGGTGCACAGAATTAGGTTGTAATCCAAAGTCATGATATTCTCTCATCTAAGGTCTGCGCACACTTCTTATTTATTTTTGTTTGTGTTTGTTTTGAAATTGTAATAAGCCTCATGAACCTTCAATCTAACAAAACTGAGACCTTGTATTAATTTACATTTTCTGTGCAGTTCTTCCTATCCCATGTCTGCCTTATCTTAGTGTAAGCACCATCTTGAACCTCGTGTTTATTATTCTTTTGCTTTTCTTTTTAGTTTTTCTTCACCCAAATGTATTCCTCACAAAATTAAACTTTTTAGCTTCATATAGAATTATGTTGTACTTAAATTTCTAGTACTTATTTTTGAACTTGTGTCTCTAAGAGTCACCATATGTTGCATGCCATTGTGTGAATATACTAATTCATTCATCTACTCTGTTTAGAGGTATTTGACTTTTTCATTTCTTTCCAGCGTTTTGCAGTTGTGAAAGGTGCTGTTTCTTCTGATTTTAATATTTTTAAAAAATATGTATTCCAACTTTAGCCTTCATTGAGAAAAGAATCTACTAGGAATATCACTCAGTGTAGAATGGATGTTATCCAGAGGACACTCTACTAGTTGAATTTGAACAAGTCACCTATAATTTGGCTAGTAGAACTTATTAATATGATATTTGAGAGTTTTGTTGAGTATTTCAGCAAAGCAACTCAGAGACTTATTCTTTTTGATTTAAGAGAAATGAGGAGGTTGATTTGGAATTCCTGCACATTCTGATCTTATTTTGAGTTATTATATGATATATTTGTGGGAAAGTAATTGCTTATAAATATGCATATCAGTAAATTATACCAATCAAAAATTTAACTGTAACCATTTTTATTTTATTGTTTAGGAAAAAAATGACCTGAAGCGTGCTGGCCTCATGCTTCAAGAAGCAGACAAACTGGGCTGCAGACAGTTTGTTACTCCTGCAGACGTGGTTTCAGGCAATCCTAAACTTAATTTAGCTTTTGTAGCTAATCTGTTTAATACATACCCATGTTTACACAAGCCTGATGATAATGACATCGATATGAATTTACTGGAAGGTATGTTCTTTCTGACTCACTGTATTTATCTGTATTGTCCTACTTTATTGTCACAGGTAGGGAATTTTGGTGGGAGATGCAAGTTGGTGTGTATGGACATGTGCATCCATTAAAAAATTTAAATTATAGAAAGTGGTTGATGATTTTGATTAAAAGAGAATGCTGGGGTAAATCTTACTTATCTGTCATTTCTCCATAAGAGGCTAGCAAAAACTATCATACATTTAAAATATTCTTGTAAATGATCACATATCATAACTCTACCACCAATATGTACAACTGAGTGATCCATTGGAAAAAATAATTACTTGTAGCTTTTTTTCCTTCTTTGAAAGCTCCAGTTTGATTCCAGTATTGTTCTCTTTTTAATGTTTTTAGTGTACATGAAAAAATTACAGTGTTCATTACTTGTCTTGTGTGTGGTCTATCATTATCTGTCTCATAATATATAATACTTTCCTATTTTGCTTCATGAAATGCAGATTTGACCCCTCCTAATGTAGGTACTGTATTTAGTACTTTTCTATACTCTATAAATATATTCATTCTGAATGTTCTTTTATTAGTTTCATTTATTCTTTCCTTCTGGATGGATATTTTATTTTTTGCATTGTTCATGCTGTGTTATTTCTGCCTTAATATGCCCATAGAATGAATGACTACAGGCAAGAAACACAAATGAAACTTAATTAGAATAGCAGAGCAAGGCTTTGATTACGTAAAATCTCAACCTAATTTGTCTTCTGTAATGATGGGATACTGCAGTTGTAAACACAGAAATCAGTTTTAATAAATGGAATTCATTATTTGATGTGAAATCTTTATCCCTCTTCTGTGATAAAAATTTATCTTTTTATCACAAGTAATCTTTGGAAGGATTCATTTAGGTTCTACGGCAGATTATTTTGTATCATTAACTGTGTTACATTAACTGAATGTCATTGAAGTTTACAATATACAATATATGAATCTTCAAAATGACAAATTCTCAATATCTAGTTCTTTCTCCTTATCTTTGTTTCTTATCCTTTCTTACTTTCTTCTCCCATTCTCATGTCTTCACCCACATGCTTACCAATACCCGCATCAGTATCAGAAAGTAAAAACAGTGGCAGCAATAAATGGCAGTTATTGGAAGGAGAGGCAGTTGTCAGATGAGGCCAATCTTAAGATTTTATTTCTTGTTGCCCTGATTTGGAGAAAGTAGGGATTCTTATTGGTAGGGAGAATTTGATGATGCAATATTTATTCTCTCGCATAACCCACTGTTACTCCCTTCTTCCCCAGTGAGACTGAATGGGAAATCAGTTTCATAATATTTTACTCTTTGACTGACACAACCAGAGTTCCAGTGTCCTTGTCATCTTATAATTACAGTTTTGTGATTAATGAAAGAAGTTTCAAATTTAGCAAATGTATTCTTTGAATAATATGATTAATTAAATACATTCTTCCTGAAGATCCAGTAAAATAAAGACTATATTTACTACATAGTTATGTAACTGAGAAGGAAAAATAGATTTTTTATCAAAGACAAATTTAGGGTGAGAGATTAGAACTTGAAAAAAAATTAAGCAAAAAGGAAGACTGCTAAGTTTTTATCAGTCTGGAAAATTTCAAAATCCCTTTGTGTCAGTAAAAGGCATTGTTTAGAGTGGCATATTAAAAATGATCTGCTTTTTATAGTCACTGAATTCTTGCCTAGATGTCTTTTCCAACTTGCTCCCTCTCCTTTTGTCACGTTTGAATTCTTTTGCTAGTGTTCAGCATGCTTTTGGAAGTTTTCAGTGTGACTAGGATTGCTAAATATTTCCATTAGTACTTACTATATCTGTTAAGAAGATAATGTGGGAAATATTTATCAATCATCTTTATTTAGAACATATGTATGTCCTGATACATCTGCCAAAAATATATTTGACTTTAACTATCAATGGAATATTTTTTCTCTGTAAATTTGTGTTTTTATATATCCTTATGCAGTTTGAAGCTTGATCTTATCACATCCCAAATTCATATATTAGTATGTCCTCATTGGCAGAGAATTTTGCTCTAGGAAATTAAAAGAAAATTAAAATTCCAATTAAATATTAAACCTTCATACCAAATGGAGCCAAATATGTGGGCTACATACAGATAAATCTCAATTCATTTGTGGTGACAGAAAATATACATAGGCCACAGAATTAGAAAGACTTTGTTCAAATTATACTTCTAGCATTTGATATCTTCAGTAGATTCTATAAGCCTTGATTTTCTCATATATAAAATAGGACAAATAATACTTATCTTGAAGAGCTACAAAGCAAATCCAATGTGATCATGAGTGAAAGAGTTTATCACATAGCATCTGCTTATTAATGGTCAGGGTGGAGGAGGAAAGCCCTTAACATATCACAGCATATTCAGTGAGCGTAAAATATGTTAGTTCCTTTTTTCCTGCTTAGTAGCCTACTTTTACTGTCTTTTATCACTTGTAGATGTCAATTTGGCTTTGCAAATGAAAGGAATGTTTCATCATTCTATCTTATATATCAGCAATTAAGATTTTACTTTTAAGATTGTCTTAGCTGTTTATAATCCAGATGATATTTCCCAATCTGGAATACATATGTTTTTGTAATGCTTTACCATGGCTCTTGCAAAAATGCATAGTGCTTCTAGCTTTGAACATTTATCTACTAAGACACCTTGAAATGTTATCCAATAAATAAATGCTCACTTATAAAATCTATTTTACTTTTCAGATATCAAAAATTAAAACAATACTGATATAATTGGCTGAGAACAATAGGAAGAAATATGAAACTCTGAAGATAGTTTCAGAAATCAATCAAAATGCAATTTTAGTGTCTTAAAATAATATTCATTATGTCATCTGGTTCAACAGAATTTGAATATTTTAATTAAAAATTAAGCCATTGTGACAATACCAATCTTTGTAATTTTAAGACATAACTTGGATGTCCTAGAAATAATGTAAAAATTCTCTAAATACTATAAAAAACCTATATATACAGCATTATAACAGATAGTAATAGAGATACAATTGAAAGGTAAATCCAAGTCACATGTATCAAGCTATTAATCACAGTCACTTTGGGACAGTTCATAGATTTAATATGTACTTGTTTAATAACTCCTACAAATAAGGAAGGCATGGATTCTAGAAATATTTAGTTTAACTAGTTTTTTTTAAAAAAGTTATCAAGTAGATTGTTTATTATAAAATAGCTGTGACAGATACAACAGTGATTAGTTACCTTTTATGTTGACTAGAGGGAACAAAATTTAAGCAAGAAATTATAGGGCTATATATTTTAATAGAGAAAGAATTGAAGCAGATTCTGGAAAAGCTGTTAGGTATGGCATTGAAAACCACATTAAAATACGGTGGAAAGATTGTTTCCTGAATAGTTGGCACAGATAACAAAATCCTTTAGATCTGACAAGGTTTTGTTTCTTATTCTGAGTGTATTGGTCTATACTATCTTTGGCACCTAGTCTGAAGATCACTGCAGGGATGGCTGTATAGGAATGGGCCCCTGGAACTCAAATAGGTATAGATTCATATGCCAAATTTCCCTAGAGTCTCACATGGACAAAGTCTACAAAGTAACTTGAAGTTGTCTATGACTTAGAAGTGATGAGAGGTATAAATGGTTGTTTTTTCAGGAGTCTGGTGATAAGATGTAGACTAGAACATTCTACTGTCCCCCAAACTTTGCTGAAGAGCAACCGATAATTACATTAACTTAGGACTATTGCAATCAGGATTTGACTAGAAGGCAGGTGTGTCAGGGAACGCCCACATCCCTGCTCACTTTATGATACACCGTAACTCACGCTTTCCTTATAGATGTTGTAAGCACTGCTATGAAGGGAATGTTAGAGAGGTAGAGTATCAGAGGTCAAATAATAGTGTCTGAATAATAGTGCCTACAAAAGTTACCTCACTCCTTGGGATGATCTTTGAGGTCCAGGAACTTACTATCATGAAATGTGTCTTTCTCTTAGCCCCTGTATTAGGTCTGTGTTTCTTATGTATTTTCAATAGTGACAATTGAAAATAACTCAAGATGCCTGTAAAATAGTTATATCCCTTCCTTGTTTGTTTTTATATTACCTGTAATTTCCCTCTCCCCTCATTGTTTGGTATAAAGTGTAGGTTTGTGTGCCTAGAGACTTTCTTGTGTAAAACTGTAATCTGTACAAATTTAGAAACACCGTATGGAAAAAGGTAGAGTTTTTCTCTTTCTGTTTAATGTGCTGTTACCCTGACTGCAAAGATTTTGCTTCATTAAAGTCTAGCCAATTCCTTTTGCTTCTGATCATAATTACAGACCACCTGAGTTTATCTGTTACATTTCTAGGCAGAGAAACCTGTCATTCAGTAGTAGTTCACAGGTATCAAATAAGGGAACCTAGGAGAAAGTTAAAGCAAATGGAAGCATCCCAGATAGTGGGAAGAGACTTTAGCATTAAAGTCTCCCCCCCGCCCCAGATACTGTAGTATCTAAAGAACCATGGCAAAGTATGTATGATTTGTTTGTACCTGTCAGAGTGGTTTAGCATATAGTTCCTGATTCCTTTTTTCCTGAATCATCAGTCTGAACTTGTGTCTACCCTAGGAGAGAGCAAAGAGGAGAGGACATTTCGGAACTGGATGAATTCCTTGGGGGTTAACCCATACATTAATCATTTGTACAGGTAAATATTTCATTGTGTTTAATCTTTTTTGTCAGGGTCCAACTTTTCAGGTTTCCAACTATAGGTATGTTTACAAGAGAACATTTTCTCAAATCATAATTTTAGCCAACTTTTAGTTTCAGGATGCTGAGAATTAGCAATACAATGGATTTTGAAAAAACTATTATTTTAAAAAATAAGAATATGAGAGCCTTGGCTCCCTCTCCTACCTTGGGGAAGTGAATCTTCTCTCTAATTTACTTTCTAAATAAACTATATTTTTCAATCAAAAAATAAGAATAGGTACAATTTTTGATATAAATAAATCATCAAAGATAATCCTTACTTTTTTATAGTTAATGGTCATGACAATGAATTATTTCAACTTCAACAGATTAGCAGTACTATTTGATAAACTGTTCTTATTATTATGTCAGCATTTTTCATTATGTCATTTTTTTCACTTTTTTTTGCCAAAATATAAGTTATTCCATTCTTTTCTTTTCTTTTTTTCTTTTTTCTTTTTTTTGAGTTGTAGTTTCACTTTGTCGCCCAGACGGGAGTGCAGTGGCCGCTCCCGGCCACCGCAGCCTCTACCTGTTGGGCTCCGGCGATCCTTCCGCCTCAGCCTTCCGAGTAGCCGGAATTACAGGCGTGCTCTACCACGCCCGGCTGATTTTTTGATTTTTATTGTAGAGATGAGGTCTCGCTGCCCAGGCGGGTCTCAAACCCGCGGGCTCAGGCAATTCACTCACCTCAGCCTCCCAAAGGCGCGGAATTACAAGCTGAGCCACCGAGCCCGGCTTATTCCATTATTTTGTATACAACTTTTTCTAATTTGTAGAAATAGCTTTCTTTTCCTGAAAAATTATTATAATTCATCTCATTAAAAAATGACAACTCATTATTAACGCTGGTAGCATTAAGAAAATATTTTAGTAAATTAACTTTTGGGCTGTCTAGTAATGCTAATAACAGTGCGTCTTTTTTAATGTGTATGAGATGTTTTCCTTTTCTATTATACAACCTACCAGCATGTCTTAAAAAAATGCAAGCCGGGCTCTGTGGCTCAGCCTGTAATCCTGCGCCTTTGGGAGGCTGAGGTGAGTGGATTGCCTGAGCCCGCGGGTTCGAGACCCGCCTGGGCAGCGAGACCTCATCTCTACAATAAATAAAAAAATCAGCGGGGCGTGGTAGCGCGTGCCTGTAATTCCGGCTACTCGGAAGGCTGAGGCGGAAGGATCACCGGACCCCAGCAGGTCGAGGCTGCAGTGGCCAGGAGTGGCCACTGCACTCCAGTCTGAATGACAGAGTGAGACTCCAACTCAAAAAAAAAAAAAGCAAAAGAACTCAACTTCAGCTAGTTGTATTTTTTTAAGGGAAAAGGCCTCTTTAACTAAATCTATTAAGAAGTTATGTACCAAGTAAACTCCTTAAAGTAGATTAACTAAATCATTTAAACATAAAATGAAAATTAATGTCCCAAAAGATCAAGTTCACTAGCTAACTTAGGATTAATGATGCAGTAATTTCTCCTCCTTGGTGTATATTCAAAATGTTCTTTAAAATCTAAGACCAGTATTGCCTTATTATGGTAACTGACTTTCATATAATAGACTGCTATTTATAAGGCTCTTGGAGAGTGTGTAGATTTCTGCTAAATGAGAAGAGATATACGTCATTTATAACTGGAGCTCTTGTTATAGTAGCAGGACAGTTAAATCTCAAATATTGGCAGGGAGAATGGATTCCATCTTTATGGACTGATTTGAAAGAATGTCTATAAAATGTAATCAAGAGAAAAGACTAATAGGTGAAGTATGTTCCTCCCATTTTGTTTAAAAACTGAGTGTGTAGATATCTGTATACACAGTTTTAAAGAAAATCTGGAGGTACATACTGAACTATATTCGACCTGGGCAGTAGGAGTAGAGAATAGTAAGGAAGCTTTTATTTTTAACACTAGTAAATTAAATATGGTTTGATTTTTTTTAATGATGTGCATATATTTTTCTATAACTAAAGAGTACATTTTAAAATAGGAGATTAAGATTTGTTGAGACTCTTGGTAACCATTGCATAAATGTCAAAAACACTGGAGTTCTATGGCTGACAGCGAACTGACCAACCCTTTTAGTTAAAGATATCTGAAGCATATCTTTAGTCAAGAAATGCTAGCACAGACATCTAGACCATATGTAATTTTTTTCTTGGGACAGGGACTGCTACTTTTGGAAAATTCTCAAAAGTAAGGCCAGACGCAGTGATTCACAACTGAATCCCAGCACTTTGGGAGACTGAGAAGAGAAGGTTGCTTCAGCTCAGGACTTTGACATCAGCCTAGACAACACAGCAATACCTCATCTCTATAAAAATTTCCGGGTGTGGTGGTGCATCCCTGTAGTCCCAGCTACTTGGGAGACTGCTGCAGAAGGACTGCTAGAGCCTAGAACGTTGAGGCTGCAGTGAGTTGTGATGGTGCCACTTCACTCTAGCCTGGGTGACAGAGACTCTAATTCAAAAGTAAAAGAAAGAAAGAAAAGAATAAATAAAATTCTTAAAAGTATCATAACCTCAAAAAGAATAATCAGATACAGAAAAATAGGTAAACACGTAGTTGGCACTAGAACCATGTACCCATGAATTTGTGTCTGAATCATTTTCCTAAACCCACCCCTAAGCATTTTTAGTTTCCTACCTACAGTAATCCCAGCCCATACCAAAGCAAGTAGAACAATATGAGAGGGGGAAAAAAAAAAGAAAAATTATTTTTTGGAGGGTGAGCCTTTTGTATTACAGGCTTCCTCTCCTAGGTAAGTGTTCTAGGAACCTATCGGCATCAGTATACTGGCTAATGTTGTGAGGCTGCGTTCAGCTTCAGTGAATTTCTTTTAGGAGATTGTTTCAACATGTTTGCCCATTTCATGATGGGTGATTTACGAGTGCATCTGCCCACACCACGCTGCGTGTTCTGTAGTTTTGACCCAAAACAGCATGAGCCCTGTGCCCTACCCTCCCTATTCACCTGATCTCGCCCCAAGCATCTTTTTTTTGTTTGTTTCCTGGGATGAAAAAAGTCCGCAAAAGGAAATATTTGCCAGTGTGGAAGAGGTGAAACAACAGTAGAAGCACTAAAAGTTTTAGCATCAAAATGGGCGAGTTCAAAAACTGTCTTGAGCAGTGGAAAAAGTGTCTGGATAGGTGTATTGCATCAGAGAGTACTTTGCAGGTGACTGAAGTTTAAACATGTAAGAATAAATACACAATTTTTAATAAATTCCGCTTTTTGGGGTTCCCCCCATTGTATACTGATTTTCACTGAAAATTCTCTAAGAAGTTATTAAATATATTTCAATAGTTACTAGTTCTGGAGTTTTTTTTTGACCAGTTAGAACCCATCTTGAAGTCTATGAAACTCTCTGGGCTTTAGTTTTCCATCTGCAAAATATGAATAATAAGACCATACTACACAGGAATGAGAATGAATTTATTTAAAATAAAAAAGAAAAATATGTAAAAACAGATAGGATTCCAGAACCTATACAAATATTTTAGTGATTCTTTTGTATGCAAAGTTTTCCATGTGCTTAAAGATAATCTCGTCAGATCTTAATTACCTTCATAAGTAGACCTTCTCCCTTCATCACTCAGCAGTGGGCTCAGCACCCTTCGTTGCTATATGGTGTATGCTCAGAGAATGCGAAGAAACTTTAATATGAACTCAACATAACTCATTTAATAAGCTGTTGGAGGAAAAAGCCACATGTTCTATCATAAAGGTAGCAGTTTAAAAAAATCAGTTGTTGTTACTTTATGTCCTAAGCATACAGAATTAGAAAACAGACTGTACAGACAAACTTTAAGCTTCTCAGAAGAACATATTTTTCTGAATCCAAAGTAGTAGTATTCTCACTTTGGAAACTCCTATTTGTTCATAAATTCCTCCTTAACCCTCATTATTGAACATGAATAGTTGTTTACTGAGTAGCTATTGTGATCTTTCTATAAATTTTTTTAGGTTAAAAAAGTATAACATACATGAACTCATTCTCTCTGTACAAGTTTCAGGAAATATGTAAGTATACAGAACAAAATAAAATACGATAATTCATCCCTTACCCCCACATTATCCCTTTTTTCCTACCCAGAGGTAATTGCTATTAGCAGTCCTTAGCACATATCTGTGAAGAAATACATTTGACTCCAATTTTTTTTAAATAAATGAGATTAAACAGTAAGAAGTGTTCTGCCATTTGCTTTGTGAAACTCAGTATGTCTTGCAAAGCTTTTCATATCACTACATACAGATCTACCTTATTATGTCTAATGGTGGCCCAGGAGTTCATAGTATGGATAATTTACTCAACAGCTCCCCACCCCACTGCCAGGCATTTAAGTTGTCTACAAATTTATAAATACTATGACAGTAAATGTCTTTGTATATGTATCTTTGTAAATATTCATGAAAAACTTTAGACAGATTCTTTGAAGTTTTCAGTCAAGTTGCCGCGAAGTCCTTAATTTTGTTGCAGCAACTTGGATACCTTTAGAGTTTATCATATTCAGTGATCTATCACAGAAACAAAGAACTGAATACCACATATTCTCACTTATAAGCGAACCCTAAGCATTTATCATAACACTATAAGAAAGGGATTGGCAGTAGCGGGACACTGCCAGAGGAGGAAAGTAGGGTGGAGGGACATAACATCAATAAAGGTACCTGATCTCAAACCAGGCAAAGTGGACCAAAAGAGACCCAAACTTTACCTGTACAATGATGACCACTTATCTACCTAATCCTGAATTGTACCCCACATCTTTAACATTTTTTGTAAAAAAGTTCTCGATCGAATGATATGTCCTGTCATTCTTTAAGCATTAAATGCCTTGTGTGTTTTTAAAGAAATAAGCCCATCTCCAGTGTACTTAATAAAATTAGGTAGTACCAACATTTACTTCTCCTTTATCTACTTTTTCTTCGTGTTTTAGTGACCTTGCAGATGCTTTAGTGATCTTTCAGCTTTATGAAATGATCCGAGTGCCGGTCAACTGGACCCATGTCAACAAACCTCCTTACCCTGCCCTTGGAGGGAACATGAAGAAGGTGAATGAAATAATGTCCATGAATATATTGTTTTTGTTCTGATATAAAATAGAAGACTTAGAGTTTCATAAAATTTGGTAAAGTATGCTCTGTCCCCATAGTTCTGATTCAAACCAAAATGTATTAAGCTTAATAGCCTTTCTACAAGTTTGTTTTAATAAATGGAAAAATGAAAGCAATAGCCCCAGTCAGACACCTTATATAAGTACTTTCATTTTTATCACATTGTAGTACTTAGTGTTTTTAGAGATGTGCCATAAGTGCACCCTTGTTTTACAATTGCTGTAACTTGCTGAATTTTTATTGGTTATTCACTCATTTATTCAACAAATATTTATCAATTACATATTACCTGTGCAGTTATACAGGATGTAAAAAAAAGCACAAGGCATGGAGTTGGTCCTTAGGAACCCCTAAAGAAATTAGGGAGATCTGTGTGCAAACAACTACAATATAGTACATTGTAAGCAAAAGTGAATATTATGAGTTCTAAGGAAGAAAACTGAGTAGCTATTGAAATAGTAATAACAAAGTGGAAAAGCAACATGAGTGAACAATTCACAGAAGAAAAAACAATGATGGATAATACACATATGAAAACCTTTTCACCCACAATTTATAAATGCAATTTAAAACAAACTATTGCACTGCACCCAATGTTAAAGGAAGTGTTCATTTATATCTTATTTCTAAAATCAGTTTGGGAATGTATATCTATAATCTTCAAAAAAACCTTTTGACCTAGTAATTTCACTTATTTTTACCTATCCCAATGAAAAATCAAAAAGTCAGACAAGAAAAATCAAAAAGTCAGACAAGAAGTGTGGAAAATACTAATGATAGCAATGTTTATAAAACAAAACAACTGGCTGGGCTCGGTGGCTCAGCCTGTAATCCCAGCACTTTGGGAGGCCAAGGCGATTGGATCGCCTGAGCCAAGACCCGCCCGTGCAACTTGGCGAGACCTTGTCTCTACAATAAAATTAAAAAATAGCCGGTTTGGTAATGTGCGTCTATAGTTCGGGCAAGTCTGAAGGCTGAGGTGGAAGGATCACTGGAGCCCAGAAGGTCGACGCTGGAGTGGCCGTGAGCGTGCGTGCCACTGCACTCCAGGCTGGACGAAGGAGTGAGACTCCACCTCAAAAAAAACTCCAAAAAACCAAAACCAAAACAACCTAGTTGTTCAATAATGGATTAATAAATTGATACACCTATAAGATGAAGTAATATGTACATTAAAAATGGTGGTTTAGTAACAGTGACATGGAAATGAGCAGTATATAAAATTACATATATATGATCTGGATCTAATTTGCTAAAAATACACAGATATGCACTCAAAATGGACTTCTTATCTTCTTCCACATCTCTAGAATGAACATGTATTTATAGACTTTGTAATTTTATATAAAAAATTTAAAAAATGACTTTTTATAAGAGAAAATACACCATAATGTTAAGTAGTAAAATGTGTGGTACAAGAGATTTTTAGTTCTATTTTTCAGCAATTCTAGTCACTGGACTGCCTGCATTTTTAATTAATTTAATTTGATTTGCCTATAATTCTTTTTATGGGAATAGAATTCAGAAAATTTTCTTGGCTTATTTCACATAAGTTTTTTTCTCCAAATTTCAGATGTAAAATGTAACAGGGATACAGAAATTGAGCCATTCATTTTACCAGGAATGTTTTATGTTAATTTCAAAATGTCATAAATGAATCATATGCAAAATGCTTCCTTTCAACACAGATTGGTTGTTTATAGAATGAAACATAAATCCTGAAATAAATTCAAGACATTTAAAAAAATGAAGAAGCAATACTTTTGTGACACAATATTACAGGGAATTATTTTATGGAATTTGGGCAATTATCAATAGACATTACTTTCCTTCACTGACAAAGTTCATAAAGTGGCACCATTAAAATAGTCTTCATTATTTTTTCAGTATTTAGTCTCACTTGGAACCTTGTGTCCCAATTGTCTAAAGGATCCAAACGTCATTTCTGTCCAAAGCAACTGAAGTGCTTGAAAATCATTTCTTCTATCAAGTCTGTGAGGCTGCACTCTCCATTGTTTTTCTTGCTTTCTTTATGCTTACTCTTACCTTGCTCATTCTTAGCTTCTTCATCTTTCAGCCTGACAACTCCATATTTTCAAGGCGCAGTTCCTGGCCCACAGTGCTTAACTTCTATATTTTCAACCCCAGGAAGCAGATCCATTTTTAGGGATTTAAGTACAGGTTCTGTATCCCTTATCCGAAATGCTTGGGTCCAGACGTTTGGAATATTTGCAGTACAGCAGTTGAACATTCCTAATGCAAAAATCTGAAATCTTAAATGCTTTAATGAGCATTTCTTTAGAGTCATGTCGGTGTTCAAATGTTTCAGATTTGGATTTTCAGGTTAGGGATATTCAACTTGTGCTACTATAATTATGTTCCTCGCTTCTAGAAACATCATTTCTTATTTTTTCTCTAGTTTGCTACCTCCCTAGTTCTTAGAAATGTTCTGCCAAATTTGGAACCAAAGGTTACCAATAAATAGAACACATGCTTTCCCTTATGTTGGTACCTGTTTCCAGTTTCTCTTTCATTGCTGGCTACGTCAGTATATCCTTTGGCCTCTACACTAGCAGCCCTAAGCTCTACTGTCATCTCCTTAAGGAAAAGGGTAAAGAATATGGGTGATAAAGTCAGATTATTCATGAAACAATTATTTTCTTCTCTATTCTTTAATTTAAATATAGACAAATATCATCTATTACTTCTCTGAATGGAATGCAGGAAACTTAGGTTTTTAGTAACAAGATATACCACTAATAATCTATGTATTCTTGGATATCAAAATTTTTAGAGTAGGAGGGTATTTTAAAATTTTCCACCCTGCTGTTCCATCAGTGCTTTGCTATCTTCAGCTATACAATTAGAATAATTATTTCCTTGATTTCACTTGGGTATTGTCATGAAATGAAATTTGGTCATATAAATTTAAGATGTCATAATAGTTATTTTTCAGATGTCTGTATAGGCTGGCATATTCAGGAGATAAGTTTTTAAAAATCTGTTTTTAAACCAAAACTTTTACTTATAGATTGAAAACTGTAACTATGCAGTGGAACTTGGGAAGAATAACGCCAAATTCTCCTTGGTTGGCATTGCTGGGCAGGACCTAAATGAAGGGAATGCAACACTTACTCTGGCGTTGGTATGGCAGTTAATGAGAAGGTAAAGACTGATATATTTATAGCAACACTGCCAGCTTCCTTCAATAAGTCATTTGATCTAAACTTTTAGTGATTTCTCAATGAACACAGAATATACAATGCAAAACATTTTAATTTTAAAGAATGTACTGGTTTTTTGTAGATTATATTTTATTTTTAAATGAGTCAATATCTAGAAAGAGTCACTTTTATTAATACCTCCTAAAAATGCCTTTGGGCCAGGTGTGGTGGCTCAAGCCTGTAATCTTAGCACGTTGGGAGGTCGCGGTGAGAGGATTACCTGAGCCCAAGGGTTCAAGACCAGCCTGGGCAACTTGGTGAGACCTGTCTCTACAGTATATCAAAAAATTAGCCGGGTGTGGTAGCGCACGTCTGTAGTTCAGTCTACTTGGAAGGCTGAGATGGAAGGATCACTGCACGCCAGCCTGGGTGACAGAGTGAGACTCTGACTTAAAAAAAAAAAAAGGCTTGGTAAGAAGTTATTTTAAGTTTTAAAAACACCATATAGTATTTTGTTTCTGATTAGGGAGCAGCTTTGTAACTCTGGAATGTAACCAAGTGCAAATGCCAGACTAAAATTAGAAATATTTATTAGAACTGAACTATTTCTTAAATATTTATCTAAACACTGATATAAATGATAAGAAAGCAAATTTCACTTTTTTCAGTCTCAAATATACATCTTTTCTGTTGCAGGTACACACTGAATGTGTTATCAGATCTTGGAGAGGGTGAAAAAGTAAATGATGAAATTATTATCAAATGGGTTAATCAGACTCTTAAAAGTGCAAACAAAAATACTTCTATTTCCAGTTTCAAGGTAATCAAAAGTATTACACATTTTTTATTATAAGTTTAGAAAATAGTTTTTATTGGGAATTACATTGGTTAGTTCAGAATTACATTAATGTTATATCTCAGAAACACAGTTTATTATGAGTTGGGGCATACTCATTATTTGGCATGTGTAAACTTGGAATATTCAGTTTGAATTCTTGTATTTTTTTTATGTTGGTTGTCCCGTTAAGTATAAATGAAGGTTAATACTGTTAGACTCTGGTAATCTAATCCTAAAAAATAAATAGAATAGAGCCAAAAAAAAAAAAAAAAATCCAATTGTCAAATGAAAAAGAAAGATAAAAAGTTATTGTTTATATAGGACCTATGATGTTTTGTGCTCCCTAGCAGCAGTCTCAGAATTGTATTGACATCATTACCAAGGCATAAACAGAGCCAGCCAAACCGATTCAAGTGGGAATTGAGAAAACTGGTAGGAAAAAAAATATCTTGTCATCTGGCTTCATAATGGCACTTAACACTCACTTCTGAGCATTTGTGGATGATTCATCAAAATGTAATCTGCACATACATACCCACTAATTTTCATGCATTTCCATTGTGTTTTGCTTTTGCATGCAAGCTGATGTTAGCTACAAATAAGCATGTCTGCTTGTACACATTCATTCAGTGAGCCTTGTGTTTGTGATTTTATTATATGTGAAAAACCAGCAATTTGTATTTTTTTGTTAAATAAAAAAGTGCAAGCAGATGAAACACTAAGCTACAGTAAGAGATATCTACCTATCTTTATTCTTCTCTTTGCCTTTGCTCTATATGTTTAGCCACAGTTTAGAGTGGAAGAAATGTCAAAAATTTATAGTCTACCCCTTTTTACCAAAAATTGAGTCCTCGAAAGGATTTTAACAGGAACACAGATATTGGCAGAGATGGCACCTGAGTCTTAGTTCAAGTGTTTTTTTTTAACCCCTCCTCTATATTGAAAGGAACTAATGACATTGAGTTTTTGTTGTTGCTATTAAAAAAGAAAAACTAATTTCCAGTCCATTATTTATCTCTCTATATTTTAGAAATAAAACACAACTTAAAAATATAAAATAGCAATGGAGGTATATTATAAAATTCTCTAATTGGCAGTTACTCTTTAAAATGGTTTTGCTGAAATTATATGCATCTGCACATTAATTTATCGAAAATATTAAGCATGTATATACTTAAATACAATGAGAAAATATTTAGGAACAAATTAGTATTAATGAGCTCTTACTATTGAGTAACATTTCTAGATAAAGATATGAAGTGTAAGACATTAATCTGGCCCTTGGTGTTCAACATTCATTTGAAAGACAAAACTTGTATAACCGAGAACTAATATTATCATGAATAAGAAGTCTAACTAATAATTTCCAACTGAATGGTCAGTGAAGAATGGATGGAGAAAGTTGGATTTGAACATCATAGATGGAAGAGGGATTTGAACTAGTGGAGAAAAGGGAGAGGATAACAAACTAGAAGGGTCCATCTTAAATAAAGGCAAGTATCAGAAGGTCAGAAGAAACAAGAGAGGTTGGTTCCTAAAGGAATGTAGTGCAAGATATAGACTGGGTCAAGTCTGCGGAGGAGTTTGGCCTAAATAAAGGATATTGAATAAAGAGAGTAATAAAGGCGAATGAACTGATAAGCAGGGCGAGTTGAAGGGAGAATGGTGTAAATGCAAAACAGTGCATAAGAATCTCAGGTAGCCAGGCTCGGTGGCTCAGCCTGTAATCCCAGCACTTTGGGAGGCTGAGGTGAGTGGATTGCCTGAGACCGCAGGTTCGAGACCCGCCTGGGCAATTTGGCGAGACCTCATCTCTAGAACAAATCAAAAATTAGCCGGGCGTGGTAGCAAGCGCCTGTAGTTCCAGCTACGTGGAAGGCTGAGGTGGAAGGATCGCCGGAGCCCAGCAGGGCGAGGATGCGGTGGCCGGGAGCGGCCACTGCACTCCAGTCTGGGTGACAGAGTGAGACTCTAACTCAAAAAAAAAAAAAAAATCTCAGGTAGTACTAATGGTGTGAAGTAGAAGGTGGGCTTGGGGCTAAATGGTAAGAATAGATATGAGCTATTGTAAAAGAACAGCTAGGATTTAGCTTCTTGATTCAGGGAAGTAGAGGAGAGAGAAAATGTTTTGGGCCTAGGTAACCAGATAACAAATAACACTAATAGAAATGGGGACATCATGAAGTGTAGCTGCTTTCTGGAAAAGGTGATGAATTCAGGGTTTTTGTTGTTGGTTTATTTTAATTTTATTTTATTTGAGTCAGGGTCTCACTCAGTCACCCAGGATGGAGTACAGTGGCTTTATCATGGCTCGCTGCAGCCTTGACTTCCTGGGATCAGGCAATCCTTCCATCTCAGCCTCCTGAATAGCTGGGACTACAGGTGCGCACCAACACACCAGGCTAATTTTTTGATTTTTTTTAGGGATGAGGTTTTGCTATGTTTTCTAGCTCGTATCTAACTTCTGGGCTCAACCAATCTTCTTGCCTCAGTCTCCTAAAGTGCTGGGAATGCATGTGTGAACCATTGCGCCTGGTCTAGTTTTAAGCTTGAATTTGAGGTAATTTTCAGGAAATAGGGTGTGAAACGAAAGGAGATACTGAAACTAGGAATACAGACTTGGTGATAAAGTTGAATAAAAGAGTTGAAAAATTGAGTGCAAAAACTTTTTAAGGGAGAGAAATCACAGAGGATAGCAGACTTGAGTATGATTTTACTTAAAACCAAAAAGGCAGAAACATTGCAAAAGTGCTTGGCATTTAGTACATCCTTGATAATAAAATCTTTAGAGAGTGCAAATGGTTAAGAAATGTAGCAGTGAATGCCAAAATATAGTTGGGGTGGGGAGGTTTTTCCAACTACAGAAACATTTGAAGGCTACAATAAATGGTATTAGCAGAAACATTTTAATCATAATCAAGGCAGTGCTATAACTAGGAATTTCAGAAAAGATAAGTTTACCCTTTTTAGTTGCAAAGTAATTTTCCTTCCCTAAGAAGATAGGGAGATAGTATATCAGCAAATAACAATAATCATAATTACCATTTATTGAGGCCTATGTATTTAGCGCTTTATATCTTGTTTAATTCTTTTAATAACTCTGTGAACAAAAAGGTGAGCCATTAGAGAAGTTAAATAACTTGGCCGTTGTCTTACAACTTTTAAACAGAATGACTGGGTTTCGCATCCAGGTCTATCTACATACAAGTTGAAAGCCAAGCTTTGGAGTTGTATGGCTCTGGTTTTGACTCTTAGCTCAGCTACTGATTAGCTGCATGACATATTGCTCATTTACTCTGTAAATATTCAAGGCTTACCCTGTGCCAGTGCCTTGCTAGTCACTGTGACTATATGGTGCCCTCAAAGAGCTCACTGTTCGGGAAAGGAGACAAATAAGAAAACAAGAATCACAGTATAGGGTGTCAGCAATACTATAAAAATCAGCTAAGGGGAGTATGGGATCTCACGAGAAAGGCATCTGTTTTACAGAAACCTTAGCAGTTTATACTAACAGCTGGACTGTATATTGATTAAAAAAACGGAACTTACTTCTGGGTCAGCATTTAGTATCTGTATAACCTTGGGTAAGTTATTAATTTCCTTGTTCTTCAATTTCCCCATATCTACAATGGGGATATTAACAACTATCTTCTAGGGTTGTTGGTAGACTATATAAGTAAACAAATGTAAAGAGCTCAACATACCTGGCACATATTAAGAGCGAAATAAATGGGGTTTACCATACTGTTGGTACCACTGATATATATAGAGCATCATATGTGGAGCAGTTCCTATAAGCCTATTAGGGAACCTGGTGGCCACATCACTATTTTTCCACTTCTATTTTTAATATCAACAGAAAGAACGATGGAATGGAGTGTCCTAATACTATGTATTAAATTCAGAGAAAGATGATACAATTCATTATCTTGAAAATCAAGCTAAGATCTAGACTAATTCTAGATTAATTCTTTTTGCTTAAGTTATTTCTTGATGATTAACTCAAGGAAAATAAAAGGAAAAATGTTGGAAATGTATTTATACTAAACTAAGGATTTTCACTATAACCCCTTCCCCTTTGCAAAAGTAAACAGGCCTATTTTCTTGGAAACAAGTGGAAAAAAATACTTATTTCCTAAGTATAAATGAAGAAATATTTAAAATATTACAAATATGTAAACAAGTAATGAAATTACAGCACAATATAACAAATCACTTTTCTGATTTTTGAATCATAGAAATATATGAAAGGTATGCCCAAACAATTTTAAATTTATTCTAAAATAATGTAAATATTAAGTTTATTTTTAGAAAGCATATTAGTATATATTAGAATCAGCTAGGAAGCTTCTTAGAAATGTAGATTTTCAGCCCCATCCACAGATAACCTGACTTATTAATTTGACAATGGGGTTAAATTTGTGCTTTTAACAATTAAGTACCTCAGGTGATTTATATGTAGGTGGTCTGCAGATTATACTGAGAAAACAGGTATGAGGATTTTTCAGAAATAGAGACGATACTTAAAAAACAAACAAATCCAGATTACCAGCATCAGATAGATTTAAGGGCTCTGATTATTTTTACCCTCTTGTTTTATGGTCTATATCATAAAATGAACATTGCTGATAATGAAGAATATGAATTTTTCTAAAATAAATAAATGAGTGGCTCCTAGATCATGGTACCAAAAAAAGCAGCCTGTTACTCTTTACATGGCTTCAAATTGTTTTATGAGACATTGATTAAAAACTGACCTTTGGCTAGGAACTATACTATACCATCTCAATATTCCCAAGAATCCTATGACTTTCCATTTTAGAAATTGGGAAAGGATACTTTGGCTTCAAGTAACAGAAACTCAATCGAAAGTGTTTTAAACCAAAAGGAAAGGTATTGACGACAACAGGAATAATCTAGAGATAGGGTAAACTTCAGAATTGGTTGAGCCAATAAGTGAATGTCATTCAAGCGTTAAGTTTTTTTTCATCTCTGCTTTGTCATCTGATGTGCCAACTTCACCCTAAAGCTGGTTTTCCTCTTGCTCATAGCTAGTTGTGACAGAGGGTTCATCCTCTCCTTCACATCCAAGAAGAGGGGTTGCTGGCTTTCCACAGCTTAACTAAAATAGGTCTAAATTGAATCACTGTAGTAAAAAGATAGGATTACTCTATTTGATATAGGCCAATGTTTTTCAACCTTAAAAAAAAATTATTGTTCCCCTAAGGAATCTTTTTAGATATTTTCTCCCTAATCGTCCCTCCCCCATGAAATGTTAATACAGAGGTACAGCAAATGTCTGTTTATGCTCTGTATGCTTTATACATAAAAAAACAAGTTTATCACCCTGTCCCCATAGAGAATACTTGTTCTAGATTAATTCAGGTTTACTCCTGAAGCTGTTGATGTCAACTTTACTTGAAGCTCATATTTATGTGAAGGAGGTATGGATATATAGAGCAAAAATATGGGTTCTCTTAGGATGGAAGAAGTAAGGGGGCAGTGGATTCTGGGTAGGCAAGCAATAGTGGCCACTATTCAAGCTGAGAGAGAGAACAATTTGTTCAAGTATGGGTAAGTGGTAACATCAATTCCGACCGGGATTTCTGATTTCATCTGCAGCGCACTATCCACTATAATTTAGTTGTCCATTTTTAGTTTGTCTTGGAGGTGCATAACTTCAGAATGGAGAGAGAGAGAATCTTTGGTATTTTAGAGTTAGATTGTCATGGGTTCAAATACTGTACTGTACTTACTGGCTTGTAAACAAGTCTGAATTTCATGTTTTTCATGTTTTTCAAGAGAGATTATAATTCCTTTATTACCAAGATGTCAGGATTTAAAAAGTGAGATTAAATAAGCTAAGACATATAAAGCAACAAGAACAATGTCTTTGTAAATGTTAGTTCTGTTTCACTATTTATTTATTTATTTTAATTTTAATTTTTTTTTTTTTTTGAGTTGAAGTCTCACTCTGTCACCTAGACTGGAGTGCAGTGGCTGCTCCCAGCCACAGCAGCCTCGACCTGCTGGGCTCCGGCGATCCTTCCACTCAGCCTTCCAAGTAGCTGGAACTACAGGCGCGTGCTACCACGCCCGGCTAATTTTTGACTTATTGTAGAGATGAAGTCTCGCCAAGTTGCCCAGGCGAGTCTTGAACCCGCGGGCTCAGGCAATCCACTCACCTCTGCCTCCCAAAGCGCGGGATTACAGGCTGAGCCACCGAGCCCGGCTCTGTTTCACTATTTAATTTTTCTTTCTGAAAAATATTAAGTGATGATTTAGGAATTCGTGGTCTAAGAAATATATTACTAGAATTTATAAAATTATTAATTAAAATTCATGTATTCATTTTCAAAAGTTGCTTATTATTTACAGAATGGATATTATAGTTAGCATGTTTAGGAATTGTCCACAAACTTTATTCAGGTATGGTAACAACTCTATAATTTGTATAAAGATTGAAGGAAAAATTATATTAAATTGTTTGTTGTGTGTGCTAGTTGCAGACAAACTGAATGTTAGGCACAAAGAAAATGTATAGATTACTTTCAGTTATATGATTGTGACCAGAAAAGTCTGACATTTATGAAAACTAAAGGTAAAATGTTTGTGAATGTTTATTTATTCTTTATTTTCTAGGATAAATCTATTAGCACTAGTTTACCTGTCCTAGATTTAATAGATGCAATTGCACCTAATGCAGTTCGTCAAGAAATGATCAAGAGAGAAAACCTTTCTGATGAGGATAAGCTGAACAATGCTAAGTAAGCATATGGGCTATATTACAATATAATGGGCCTTTAATTTGAGAAAATCCTTACAGGAAGGGTTACTATGTCTTTAAAATTCACTCATATTGTTAAGTACAACTTGTATGGCGAGTATGATTTAAGATTCATAAACTTAACCTTTTATAAAATTAATCATACCAAAATAGTTCATTGTTTTGTTAAAATATATTAAATGAAAACATAATAGATAACCAATACTAAGATATTTTTCTTGTCTCTTCAAGATATGCCATTTCAGTTGCTCGAAAGATTGGTGCCCGGATATATGCGTTACCTGATGACCTCGTAGAAGTGAAACCAAAGATGGTTATGACGGTGTTTGCATGCTTAATGGGAAAAGGACTGAACAGAATAAAATAATGAAACATTGAATACGATTTTCTGCCACATTAAACACATTGAATGCCTCACAGTTTACAGAATTCTGAAATGTAGTGGGTATAAAACCAGAGATTATTTGCTCAAAATAGTTATATATTCATTAATGAATTCAATATCCTGTTCATATAAGTTAGAACTTGTCGACCTTTTTGGATGACACAGTTAATTTACCAATTGATAGTGATAATAGAATGTTCATTATCAAACTGATACTTCATGGCTAAATTATTTTTATTTCTTGAAAGTTTTACTAAGACAAGACAAATTCATTCTTTTTCATGGTTCAAAAAAGATCAATACAAAAATGTTTTTGCAGGTTCTGCTGTGAAATGTGTTTTGACTTTTTTGTGTGTTATTTCATTTTGATCATAAATGCATTTAAGGTCATAATCCAGTGTAATCCCTTTATTTTCTTCCTCCAATATGTAAAGTAGAATACCACTTTTCTGTAGGTTTCTATATTGTCTAAATTTTAAAGTGACAAGTATTGCTCGTTAATATTAAACTTTTTGATATATAAGAACTAATTCTTGAATAACCCCAAAGTTCACTCTCTTGTACAAGTAGTGGGAGCTTTTTACTTAAAACTTAATTTTAATACATTGATATCTTATGTATCTTGGTTTGGTAATACAGCTTTAATTATGACGTGCAGCATATTATGTCGGTAGGATGTCATTAGAGAAATAAGCATGCATATATATTTTCTTGCACCTTAATTACCCGGGTTTTCTTACATAGTATGTATAATCGGTCAACCAGTCAATTATTAAGTATTTATTTTGCCCCCACAATACATGTGACACTTTTCAGTTTGTGGATATCTGATACATGAAGATTTATTTTATAAATACTCATTTTGAATGTGCGTATAGTTCTTTTTCAACTGACTCCTTCCAAATACTTGTACCAAAACATTGGCTAGAACATCTCAAGACATGTTGACACTATTCTGTTAGCTTCAAATTACACTTGCTAGTTTAGGTCTATATAGAAACCCTATATAATTTAGAATATGCTCACTAAATATCTTTAGTAGAAAGTATCATACAGCTAATAACTAATGTATTTTCATGTCTTTCTCACAGCCTCTTAAAAATTGGCAATATTTGGTTAACGTTGTGTTACTTGGGAATAGCTAAAGCTTGAGACCTATTTTTTTCCTGCAGTTTTAGCATTAGATTGTTTCTGCTGCTAACAATTGAATCTAGAAATCTATTTCCTCCTTCTTCCACTGTTAGTGCCAGTGAGCAATACTGTTATGCAACAAAAATGTTGTCACTTTATCTCCGTATGAGTGAGTAGTCTAAAACCCTTTCTACCATTGATTAAAGATTGGTAAGAGTGAGACTGCCCATGTGTTTAGAATAGAATTTTTTAAATGAAATGATCATCAGGTAGAATTTTGAAATATATTCTTCTACAAAAGAGATTGCTTTTCCTTTTATATTTTGATGATTGTTTTCTTATATGAAGGTAAAGATATGTTCTTGCTCTTTTATGAGATTATTTAAATCATGTTTTCCCCTTTAATTTTTTCACCATTATATTTACTAAGTTATCTGATTTACATGAAATTTGGCACTTTAGGATGGTGTTTTTCTCACAAACTATATTTAATAAAAATGCTGTGTATGTAGAAATGTGTCAGTATTTATTTCATTTGTAGAAAAATATATAGCTTTGAAATAGTCTAGCATAAGCTTATTTTCCAGAAAAGAAAACAATACTACTTAAATGAATTTGTAAATACAAAAAAAGTATTAGGTTTTCTTTGGAGATGAGGGTAGTTCTTTTGTTCCTTAATATGAAGAACTTTATTAAAAGCCAACTGCATGATCAAAATTTAGTTTGTGCTGAAATTATTCAAGTGAATTCATTAACAAATTCATCATCTATTATTATCCAGGTACTATGTTAGAATCTGGGAATTCAACTGAGAAAAATACAAAGTCTCCTGACCTCATGTTTTGTCCTAGTAAGATACAGATGATAAGCCAATAGGAAAATAGATAGTGATAAATGCAGAAGAAGAAATAAAACAGGGTAATGTGATGGAGACTGACTAGGGAAGTTGGTGGAGGTTATTTTAATTTGGGTGGTCAGGGAAAGTGTTGCCAAGGGTGGATTACGAGTGTTCAGAGAGAGAGGTGTATAGCCCCTAAGTCAGGAAGAGTTTTGTAGGCATTATAGAAAATACATAGGCAGATGTAGCCTGTGAGTCCTGAGAGAGAGAGATATGTAGATAGGGTCTATTCTACTTGTAGGACTAGATTTATTTATTTATTTATTTATTTGAGTTGGAGTCTCACTCTGTCACCCAGACTGGAGTGCAGTGGCCGCTCCCGGCCACCGCAGCCTCGACCTGCTGGGCTCCGGCGATCCTTTCGCCTCAGTCTTCCAGGTAGCTGGAATTACAAGTGTTCACTACCACACCCAGCTAATTTTTTGATTTATTGTAGAGATGAGGTCTCACCCAGTTGTCCAGGCGGGTCTCGAACCCGCAGGCTCAGGCAATTCACTCACCTCAGCCTCCCAAGGCGCAGGATTACAGGCTGAGCTACCGAGCCCAGCCAGGACTAGATTTAAATCTGGGTTTGTTTTTTCTACAACTGGGTTTGTGAGTGCTCTTTTGTTTTTACATGTAGTTTGGATGAACTGCTTTGAGTAATGTGCTGCTTCTGAATCTTGCATGCCATTGTTCATCATCAATCTACCATTGGTATTCATATTAATACGCAGAATAAATTGATAGGCCACATAGGTAATGTTAAAATACCCCAATTTATGCTGTAAAGAGAGTGTACCAGAGAGGCAAGAGAGGATATTCTGTAACTGAGACGATCTAAAAAGATTTTGGAAAAACAGGGTACAGTTGAAACACTGGCTTACTTTGAAGTAGGAACAGCCTCCAAATATTTTGGAATGCCTCCCAGGATTATCTACTAAACTACTTTGGCATTCCCCTAATCACAAAAATTAATCCAGCCACTGTGAGAGCCCTCTGGATAAAGGATCATCTAAACCCAGCAACCTGAAAATGCTTCAGATTAAAGTGAAGTACTTCGCACTCTCTCCCTGTCTCTCCCACCCTCATCTCTCTCCCTCACCCCCATGCCCTATAGTTCTGAGTCATCTGAATACCCTCAAACACTCTAGAAATTTTGAACGCGTCAGGGTTAGAGTTGTTCTGTTGACTAAAAATTTTGCTGAACTACAGTGTGTAAGCACATACACATAAATACAAAAACGTGTGCTGTGTCCACTGGCCACAGTTTACAGTGGGCAATTTTGACATTCCACCAAATACACAATCTTGGAACTCTATGAAACATTACAGAAAGGGGAAAATATATAATCTGGCGATAGGACAGGAAAAAAATTACAAAACTCAATACATTATCAACTATTTTGAAGTAAATACATGAAAATGTTTGGGAAGGTGGGCATTTTTGGTGTCTGCTAAGTCCTCTTGAAGAAGGCCTAAAGAGGACTTAGAAGGATGAGAAAGTTGTATTTAAGAAAACTGGGAGCTAAAGTGTTGGCAGGGACAGGGATGAAACATACAAACCTGAACGGGACAGGAAATATTTCCCTCAAATATAAGCATGCTGAAATAAATGTATACGTATTGCCTTAAAAACCAGAAGTTTTAAAGGAACAATTTCGATTTTTCTATAGTTGATTATGGGAAGCAATAGGAATTATTAGGCTGAGGTGAGTGGATTGCCTGAGCCCGCGGGTTCGAGACCCGCCTGGGCAACTTGGCGAGATCTCATCTCTACAATAAATCAAAAATTAACCGGGCGTGGTAGCGCGCGCCTGTGGTTCCAGCTCCTTGGAAGGCTGAGGCGGCAGGATCGCCGGAGCCCAGCGGGTCGAGGCTGTGGGGGCCGGGAGCGGCCGCTGCACTCCAGTCTGGGCGACTGAGTGAGACTCCAACTCAAAAAAAAAAAAAAAGATGTAATTTCCAGCCCCCCCTGCTTTAACAGTGAAAGACAACGCTCCATAATGGTTAATCTGCTTTAAGTAAAAGTTGGATTTAAAAAATATTCGAAGTAGCACTTATTGAGCTTCATTCAGCTCTTGCCTAAATGATAGATCCACCTTTTAAAATCAGAGTCATGGGCCAGGCGCGGTGGCTCACGCCTGTAATCTTTGCATTTTGGAAGGCCGAGGTGAGAGGGCTGCTTGAGCTCCGGAGTTCGAGACCAGCCTGGGTTACACAGCGGGACCTAGTCTCTAACTTAAATATAGAATAAATTATATATTTATTTATAAATATCATAAATTATAGCAAAATCAGAGTCATAAACGTGACGAGAAACCACTGGAAAGAGCGCTAGAGAGTAGGTCCATGTCCTTACCCAGTGGCTCACGACAATCAATACCTTTGACTCATGAGAATAAATGTGCGACATCAAGAATGCCAGGCCAGTTTCGGATCACAAACGAACTATTCAAAACAAGAGCCTGCGGAAATAAGGGTAGCGACCCCAAAAGGAGCAGAGCAGACAGACCACAAGCCAGCGGCGTGGCGGGCTCTCCTTTTTGCTTTAGACAGAGCGCACCCGAATACGAGGAACCCGGACAATTCCAGAAGGGGTTTCGATCAAACGTTAAGTCGCCAGAGGCTCAATTAGCAAACCGCTGCACATGAATTACCTCAAGCCGGCGACCTGGGTGTAGAGAAGGACTGGGACCGGCAGAGTCACCTCCTCAGCTGCACGAAGCCTCGAAGCTGCAGGCGGCTCAGAGAAGCCACACGCAGCACGTCCTCAGGCCCCGCCCACCCCGCCCGCCCCGTCTCA